ACCAGACTCTTGGCGCACGACAGGTCCCGTCCGCTAGATTGTAGAAGCCACTCACAGTATCCACCTGACCAGCGGTTGAAGATCCTTATTTCCCAGTGCATAGGAAATTTTGGCATCACTTCTTTAGAAAGAGTTGATGCTTGATACTTGCAGCTAAGGCGGTTTGCACTACCACTACCCCCATTGGGGGTTCCATGGGAGAAGCAGCTACAATGGGAGGGGGGTCATGCCGAGCACCGTCAAATGTCAAAATAGAGAATGGCTTGTTGCGTTTGATGTCAAACAGAAGAAGGTTTGCCCTAAGCGTCGTATTAAACTCAGACTTGTCAAGGTATCCAAAGCAGTCCAAGTGATCAGTTCTCGTCGGGCCTGCAAACCCTCATTGCCAGAGGTGAATGCCTAGCTGGCTCGTGAAAATTGTCAGAGTCCAAATTGATCCAGCCGCTGGTCTTGAAAAGAGCTACATCGAGCACATGCTCTCACCACCTCACCTCAGGACACCTGGCACTGATTCCAAATCAACCCTTTCACCGTCGCCTGGACAGCGCGAGGGGAAGGAGCCGGCTCCTCTGCGAGAATGCGCCAGCAACTGCCCATCTTGCAACAAGATTTAGGTCCTCCAACCTCAGAGAGACATGTGCCGAACCCGCCTGGTGCAAGTGAAATGGACGGCACAATGTCTGATCAGTTTTTCCCTCAGGCTCAACAGAGAGCCTGCGCATTGACTGGTGGCGCAGCAAGAAGAAAAAAAGCGGGGATCTGCCGAACGGCTTCGATTTCGTCTAGTCTTGGAGCCGGGCAGCCCAATCTGGTTTCCATTGAATGCCAAAGCGTTATGGCAAGTCGTTGTAGGTGCTTGGCTCTGGCAAGGTATGCGAAAGCAGCCCTCTCCCGAAGCCTCCAGGAAGCTCAGGCGTGCCTCTTTCAGGCGAGAGTTGGAATGGGATCCCACCACACAAACACCAGAAGAGGGGGGGGCATTGGTGTTTTCCAGCGACCCAAACGCAACAATACTTCAAAACACTCCACTCGGATGGAAATTCATGACTTGCCCTGAAACTCTGACCCCTGCGCGAGGCACAGGAAAGAGGGCGGTAACATACGAATCACATGGAGAATATCTACCAGGCAGCCGCACGGAATGCGTCTCCACTCCGGTTTGCAGGATGATGGCCTCCACAAAAGAGTCGCTCGCTCTCCTTTGTTGCTTTCGCCATGCTATGATCGAGCCTGTCAACTCAGTTTGCCAAGGACACAAATGGTAGGGCTTACTGCAAATAACAGCGATCCTACGGACTTCCGGGGGTAAGCCAAGCGATTGACATTCCATGACGCAGCTATATGCCTCGCTACGTTTGGCACAAGCTATGATTTAGGCTAGGACGACTCTTTTGCGTGCTGGCAATGTATCAAAATTTGAGTACCCCTCAAAATATGCTTTTGTGGCCAGCTAGCTTTGATTCACATACCCTGGTTGCATCTTGTATGTGTGTATATACATATATATATATATATATATGTGTGTGTATCTGTATTTGTATATATATATATATATATATGGTCCCGTGTTCCGTGTTGCTACCCCCCCCCCCCCCCCATATGGTATGGTCCCCCAGGACCCCCCCCCCCGGCCCGAGACCCCGAGCCCCCGGATCCTGGCACCTACGGTCCCACCCCCACCCCGACCCCTGAACTCGCACCCCGACACCCCGACACCCCCACCCCCACCCCCAGGACAAGCCAACCCGCAACCAACCATAAACCAACCCTAAACTAACCCTGAACCAACCCTAAATACACCCTAAACCAAACCCTAAACCGTAGACCTCTAAACCTAAACCAACCCTAAATCAACATAAACCAACCCTAAACTAACCCTCAACCAACCCTAAACTAACCCCAAATACACCCTAAACCAATCCCTAAACAATAAACCCTAAACCTGAACCAACCCTAAACTAACCCTAAACCAACCCTAAATACACCCAAAACCAAACCCTAAACCGTACACCTCTGAACCTAAACCAACCCTACCCCAACCCTAAATCAACATAAATCAACCTAAATCAACCCTGAACCAACCCTAAACTAACCCTAAATACACTCTAAATATACCCTAAACCATTTCTAAACCAACCCTAAACCACCACAACCCAACCACAGGACCACAACCACAGGGGGGGGGGGTACTTGCCTGACCCATGACCATTGGGGGGGGAGGGGGGGGGGCTGGCAACGCTGTACCATATATATATATATATGAGACATATTATATACATATATATATATATATATCTGTGTGTGTACCCGTGCCGAGCCTGGTTGTCGTGCGGCGGGAGGAGTTCCCGAGGAGGCGTCCTCTGAACAGCGCCTGCGAGACACGCATCAGCTTTCGCTGGAGCACTGACAGCTCGCAAATCAAGGCCCCTGATCTGCAAAATCGAAGCACCGAAAACGGACCTGAAATAGCAGGACACCAAACTGGGCGTCCTTTTGGCTTCCATTTGTCTAGCCTCCCACGGCCATTTGCCCGCCTTGCCAAAGAGCCGGTTTGGAGCGGCAGCTCGTGCAAAGCTGCTCCCTGCGCAGCGCCAAAGCAGTATGGTACCAACATGGTAGAGGTTTATGCGGGCACGACTATGAGAGGCAGTAGAACCACCCACTATGACCCTTTTGTTTTCTGTTGGGGCTGTGAATGTCAAGATAATTGCTGCTATTGATAGACTCCGCATTCATTCGGTGATTTTGGAGCGCAACGACGGCGAATTCGGCAAACTTGCTTTTGAGGGCAAACTGCAAATTGCCATACAAAGTCTGAGTAGCCTCGAAGGGGTGATGGGCGGCGTTGTCTGGAGTTCGCACGTTGGATCTTAGTCATGCAGCTCATGTTTGCCACGAGTCAAGCAAAGCTGTCTCATGGAGACCGGAGTGAGGCGCCCACGATTGATCAGCACGCCTGTGCAGGACAGAGGTGTGTGTGTGTGTGTGTGTGCGCCTGTGTGTCTGTGTCTCTGTCGTCTGTGTGACTATGTGTCTGCGTGTCTGCGTCTGCGTGTCTGTCTCTGTGTGTCTGTGCGTCTGTGTGTCTGCGTGTCTGAGTCTATGCGTTGGTCTGTGTGTGTGTGTTTGTGTTTGTGTCTGTGTTTGTGTTTGTGTTTGTCTGTGTCTGTGCCTGTGGCTGTGATTCGCTTCTCTGGGGAAAACCTGGTTCCGCCAAGAGGATCTGCTCATTTCAGCCCCAAACCTGTCCCAGTATAATCCCCAACCCGAGCTGACAAAAAGGCTCCCCAGAACGGCTTGATACGATCCGATAGCCGTTTGATGCAGCTTTCTATTTCCTGGCATTGAAATATCTGTGCTAGCCGCGCACTCTAAACCCGAAGGCGTCGCCAGATATTGCCAGTGTTTCAATGCAACAAACACACACGCACAGATAGGGACAGTCGAAAAAGTCTCCTGAAAATCCATGTCCTCGACCTTGAACATTCCATGTGACCCTTGGCAAGCTTGACCTGAGCAAAAACACTTCGCTAGACACGACAATCGTCTTTGGTCACGTTGCGGCTTCGGGCCTCTGTGCTTGACCCGTCACATTTATGAGCCTTCTTCAAACTACAGGCGTCTTTGTTGGCGACACAACGAAGCAGTGGCCAGTTCCTGCCTCTGCACACCTCCTCACATTCAGGGGCAGGAATGGTGATGAGGAAGCCTTGGCTGCACGCTATCACGGCGCCATTGCAAGCACAGAGCAGCAAGCAAGACCAAAGCGATGCCAGGAAACGAGTCACGAAACCATGGGCTGGATTGTGCCACCCAAAGGCAAGAAAATACATGCTATACCACATACAGCTGGCGTGCATCTGCTAAGTTCCTATCTTGTACCCTTCTGCCTCAATGCTTGCAACGTCAGGTTGAAGGCAAATTGATTGGGTAAGTGGCACCTGTGCTCGCCACTCCGATTGGAACGCGTGCCCCGAACAGCTCCCCACAACTGAGGCAAAGGCCACTCAAAGGTTTGAGGACCAAGCCAACCCTTTGGCTACGGGATATGGCCATGGGTTTAAAAAAACGTACCCCCAGTGAACATCCTAATCCCCGCTAAAATAGACTAAAAATGAGGGGTGCACCCACCCCAAAAATGTACCGTTGGTTTTGACCCATAGCCTAGGAGAGTGGGTTTCAAGTGAAGCTCCTGCAATCCGAGAAGCTCGGCTGATTGCGCGTGGCCAAATTGCTAATGCCTGGCCGGCGTGGCTGCTCTTGGAGTGGCTCACTGTCAGACTCTGACATTCGTGAGAGAGACCAGATGAAAGCATGGCAGGAGGGCACACCAGTAACAGAATAAGAAGCACCTCAGTGAAGTTTGCAAGAACATCCAGGGCAATCTCTGCATCAGGCAGGGACATAGGTTCGGTACCAAACCTCGGAAACAAGCTGACCGGCGCTGATTTTGACACCGTGCTTGACCCTTGGCTATGGAGAGGCAAAACTTGAAGGAGGCTTGACATCTCGGAGGCATTATCCAACAAAAACACTGCGGATCTTTGCAACACCAATCGCGCACTCCGTGCAGTTCTCTTTGCCAAGGCGTTGGCGGGGAATTTCTCCTCAGTTTGGCTCAGCATGGTCCTTCGACCTCCAAAGGCGCAAGCCATCAAGCTCTGAGAAATCAAGAGATGCTGCTGGCCAAGCGCAATGTTAGTCGCATGGGAGCCTTTGCTTGCTTGTTCTGAGGCAAGGAAACGCTTAGGCCGCGCCTCTGAGCCTGCCGAGTCTTGAGCATGGCCCCTACCCCAGCTTGGGCCAAGCTTGGATCCAGGCAGTCTCACTCAGGATGGATCTGTCACAAAACGCGGAGGGCTGTGGTGGGTGAATCGTGGCTTCTCTTAAAACCCTGAAAACCAAAATGATCCTTCCCTGACTGACCATCGTAGGCAACCTGCACAAACACCTAGACGCAAGCGCAGAGACGCCAGCCAGGTCAACATGCCAAGGGGCACGCGAGGTGCCTCGACTTCGGCCTAGCCCGAAGCTTCACTGTAGCAACATCTTCCAAGTTTCGACTTGAGTGAAGCTGAAGATCCCCAATTTGTCAAGTAGAGAAATGACCATTTGTCAGGGTCCCAATTTTGTCAAGCACCAATTCTTGCACGCTCTGGCGTCTTGCCGACTTAGAACGCATGGCACGCATGCTCAACGCTCGCGCAAGTCCTCCTGAGGCAGATCGTCAGCTTTCCGCAGGCTTGCCTGGAGCTCCTGCTTGCATTTCGGACAGTGTCTGCAAATGGCTATGGGACAAAAGCCAAATCGTACCCCCAGTGAACATCCCAATCCCCACTAAAATAAGTTCTAAAATGGGTGGTGCACCTGCCCCAAACTGGTACCATGGGTTTTGACCCATAGCCACACAAGTTCTCACTGCCTTCGCCTTAAAATTGTGGCCTTCCAGTGTGGCTGCAAGGATTTCCCTCTCCTGTACTTTACCAGACGTGGTGGTTGGCTCACTTGGAAGAGTGGGAGCATACACCGTACATCCTCCATGCCGGATCAACAAATCGGTCTGCGCGCCTCTTGCATGAGATTGAACAGCTGCCTTGCAGCGACACTACCATGGTCAACGCATCCAGTGGATCATGCAGCATGGACATCAAGGACGGCCACAAGGCGCTACTCAGCTGAGTCCTAGTCTGCAATTGAATTTATCTGGCTGCAGTGGTTGCTGGCCTAAGTCTTGCCACCTCCTTCGCAGTCGACTCCTGCAGGCACGTCTTGCACCAAAAATCAAGGTCCCTGAAACTTCCATGGTGCAAGCTCTGGCTTGAGGGAGGGGCATGGGGCCCTAACAATGGCGATACGGGTTCTACGTGCAGGGTGAACAACCCAAGGCTCAAGAAAGGCAGATCTTTTCCCTGCGAAAAGAGACACCTCTTTCTGCTTCTGAGACGCTGGCGCCCTGCATCTCGGCCACTGGCGGGCTCGCCCACTTCTCCAGCTGAAGGGCAAGCAGCGCCTGCCCCAAAGCTGCAGGAAAAACGGCGGGAGCGGATGGGAAGCTCTTCAAACAGTCGGTCTCTCACATGAAGATCAACACCCATGGCCCATGTCTGCAAAATCTGGGCCTTCTTGCGAAGACAAAGATCTGCCACCGCTGCATAGACTGCGACTGGCAGTGCCTGCATTCAATGGCAGGCTTGTGTCCGCGCGCGAGCCAATGAGGCAAAGGTGGCCCTGGAATCCAACCCGCTCCTGAACCTCCGGAGCTGGTTGAGCCTGGCACATGCCAACCAACGTTTCCACAAAGAAGTCGGGGGAAGAGGTTTCGGCCATCTTCGTGCACGTCCACGCAGCAAATATTAAAGCATATAACATAAAACATGCTCCTCTCAAATCCCAAGCCCGTATCAATTACAAGGGGTCCGGGGGTTGTCTGCATGTGCCATTTGTGGTAGTTGCGTTGCAAACTTTCTGCAACTTCCACCTCAGCCCTGCCTCAGGTTGAGCGCTCGAGTCTGGTGGAGTTTCTGCCTGGGCCGCCGAGTCGGAGCCCCAAATAAGTTTAGGAACTCTCCAAACTTAGGGATCCAACTGGGTGGTTTGGTTCTGAAAAACGGTTTCTTTGTCAATCTCTGTCGTTTGCCTCTCGTGCAAGAATTATGCATATCTCGAGCTATTCCGAATAGAATATGTTCGGCTGCAATGCCCAAGATGGTCAAACATGTTATGCGCCGGTCTTATTGAAAACCTGACAAAACCAGGTAGAACCCTGTAATGATTTCGCCAAAAAAACTGTTGCGCGCTCGCTCAGTCATGGCCGTGCATTCAGCACCCATCAAAAGGCAAGGCCCACGTGGTCCGGATCCGCAAACGAGCCAGGCCCACATGGTCAGGAGACAGCCAACCAAAGACGTCCAAATAGAGCACCCCGCGGAACTGGCGATCGCCGCAATTGGCTCTTCGGGCAGTGGGGTTTGGCTCAAACTCAGAGACCCAATCCGCAGATTACGGTCATTTGGCCATGGGTCAAAACCCCGGTTATCCCCCAGTGAACATCCCAATCCCCACGAAGATAGGTTCTAAAATGGGTGGTGAATTCACCTACCCCAAAATGGTATCATTGGTTTTGACCCAGAGCCATCCGTCCCGATCGGTTTCTCTCGCCACAAACCTGGCATTCATCTCCCGTACATAGCGCCTTCCCGGGCAGCGCAACTTTGTCGCCATGGCCCTGCAGGCGGCCATTGGCAGCGCCAGTAGCACGTGAAAATTGGGGAAGGGCAATTCTTGGTGGTGGGGGTATTGGTTTCGCAAATGTCAGAGGGGGATCCCAACTCTGACCACATCCCCCCCAATCCTGCTGGCTGGTCTTGTCTGCTTACTCAAAAACACGCTCGAGGGCATGACCCTGCATGTCAGCAGCAGGTGCGTCTCTCGAGTACGTGACACCATCTTCATGCCCACCCCCTCCCCCGCGCCGTCGCGAGGTGCAGGCAGCAAAGAAGCCACGAAAAGTGCAAGACCTCAATGTGACGACTCAAGGCATCGGCAGCGAGTCAAGAAACGACGCCCAAAAAAACGCGCAGGAGGAGGAGAGAGATAAAAAGAGACAGAGGAGGATGCAGAAGAGGAGAGAGGGAAGAATAGAAGGAAGGAGAGCGAGAGAGAGAGGACAGAGATTAGGGGGAAGAGAGGGGAGGATGAGACAGCGGAGGAGGAGAGAGGGGAGGAGAAGTGTCAAGATTAGAAGACCTTTAAGCCTTTAAAGGCGGCCCAGAATGACACCAGGTCTCCAAGACAGGTAAGCATGCTGTCACCCTTGCGTGTCCGGGTCCCTGGCAAAAATGAGCGGCACTAGTAAGGTGATTGCCTGCACGCATGTCGCAGGTCTGATACACAAGGTGTCCTCCATTTAGGAGCGCAGGACTACAACACACAGCGGCGGCGTAAAAAAGATGCTAGCCTCAAGGATGCCGTTTGCCAGGGTCTGAGCAGCGATGCAGCACAATGTCAGCAAGGGCGTGCCGAGCCTGAGCTCAACAGACTGTCCCATCCATAAATTCCGAGGCGCATGCTTGCCCCAAACAGCTAAGCCAAGATGTCTGGCAAATGTCCCTGAAAAGCCACACGAGGTTTGCGGGTGAAGTTGAATGGCTAAGGAAGAGACTGGAGTGCCTGGATGCAGCAGTGCAATTGAAGGCCACTTCGTTGCATCTACATGCCAGGCAGGCAAGCGCAATGGTGAGCGCCCTCCAGCTAATGAGCACATCTAGCCTCCCAGCTTCAGTGGTTCTGGCTCAGATTTCAGCAACTCACAGCGCCTCACAATCAGCCATGCCACGTAGCTGATGACAGCCATACAGCAGGCTGCCGCCCAGCCCGAGTGCGTCTCAGAGAGGAGAACACCTTCGAAGGAGAGCCCTCCGCAATTCCACAAGGCTCCGAAGCACTGCGCAACAGCATCAGCTCCAAACATTGCACCGCAGTGAGGCCATTTTAGCGCCACAGCGTTAGTCTGTAGGGAAATGGTATTGTTACTGCTTTCCAAAATGCATCAATTGCATTGGCGCCATTCCGTTCAGTTGTACCCATGAGCACCATGCGAGAACCCAGTGCAGCAACTGCACGCACTCCAGCTCGATGGCTAAATGTTCATTAGGACAGGAGAACTAGGAACCCCACTCTAAAGCCAATCACATGTGGTCTTTGCAATGTTGAACTTCGAACGTCGTCTTTGCCAAGCTCGTCTTCTTGTCTTGCCGCCACATCTGTCTTGAAGCCCAGTCTCCCAAATGCTAGACGCTTGCATCACCGTGGCTAGGATTCGCCTTGAACAACGCCATGTTGGGTGCATAAGAAGCCCTTCCCATAATATCTTGAATCCGCTTCCAGCTTTTAGTCATCCCATACCGGGTTCTGCGAAAAGAAGAAGAACAAAAAGGGGGAAAAAAACAAAAAACGAAAAAAACGCCCATCCCCCGAAATCCATTGTGACAACAGATGCTGACCCCCTTACCCCCCAACTTCAAAGTTGGCTGTGGCTCGTGCTAACAAAGCCTGCGCCCATTCCGGCTTCAGACATCACAGCATTCCTTAACAACATTGAAGTTGGGGGCGCCGGGGGGGGCGAGGGGCAGAGAGTTGGCTGAGAGTAGATTTTTGTTTTTTTTCCCCGCAGAACCCGGTATTGTGTCCGTTTTTGAATCTGCCCCTTTTCGTGGCTGTAAGGGAAATCAACAGGAAAACCACCTTTTTGGGCGGCCAAATCCTAAAAAGAGACTTCCGTTCCCTCGTCCTTGCTCTCAGATTCGGAGTGGCCCAAGCATGCAACACGGAAATAGGTGTCTCAATGGGTGTTACAGCCGTAATTTGCATTGTTCTCTCAAGATGATTGCTTCTTGAGGGGCAAGTAAAAGACGGACATTGACCCCCAAGTGCTTTGAGCCTGCCCTCCTTTTGTAGTGCATTTGAGGCTGGCACCCAAGCAGTATGCGTTGATGGACTGCAGTAGCTGGTTGGTTCCCATGGCCATACTCCTCGGCATGGGCCGACTTGCAAATTGCCGCGAGCAAACTCCCAAGCATCCAACACGCGGCTGTAGGCATCATACGCCTACAAGGAGAAGTGCCGATTATCGAGGGTCTCTGCCAAATAAGTACAGCTCTTATCAGCTTTCTTGCCTGACTCCATAGATCAACCAATCATACTTGCCAGCGCATAAAGTCAGCCTGCCAATTTGCTTGTAGATCTCTGTAGAGCTGCACGTGCCTCCAAGGCAAGCTGTGACTGTATCACGTCAGATCCACGGCGGATCGGTAAGTTTCGCGCTTGAGCGTCGCAGTCTCTTCAATGGAAGGCGCGGCCACCTGTGGACAAGAGGTTGCTTCAGCCGCCTTCTTCACCAGCAAGCGCTGGATCCGTGACCCAGGCAGCCCTTGCTGTTTCTTCGCTTGGCGCCTCCGGTAAATAGTTATCCTCCAGACCAGTAGTGTCCGTAACATCCTGTTGCCTCAGTCTCCAGTCACTAAGTCGAAAGGTCGCAAGTTGCAAGCGAGGCATTGGGAGCCGTTTGCAGCCTGGGGCACCGCACGAGAGATCGCCCAGAGTAGCACTCAGCTTCCTGCAAGCTCCGTCCCAAAAAAAGGGACAGATCCTGCAGTTGGATTGATGAAACTCTACGAATGCTGGGATAAACCCCCAAACACTCGAGCTGGATTTTGGTCCGTCAGTATGCTTGATGCATTGCACGGGGCCCACCTGAGCTGTTGCTGCAGCACTGGGATCCTCAGCATCTCCGTGATGCTCAAGGCCTCGTAGTCCTCAAATGGGTGTGGTTCAAAATCAAATCACCAGGGACCACAGGCTTCTACCATTTACCAGGGTTCCATTTATTCCATTTACCATTTTGCAGGGGACCATCAGAATCCTTGATTCCATTTACCAGGGCAACCCATGTTGGGTACCCATTTTGACCCACAGCCAAACAGAGGCTCGAGTTGGGACAATCCACAAGGCTGCTCCACCTGAGCGCTCCTTGGCTTTCGCTGCAGCGTTGTGGATCTGCTGCATGTTTGGCACCGGAAGTCGCACCTGGCAAAGAAAGGCCCAATGCATGAATTGTGTTGATGAATTTTAATCGGGGACACCTTGGTGGACATCATTTAGGGGGGGATTTCTGTCCACCAACCATTTGGGAGGGGATTCCAACCATTGAACAATCCATCGCCAATCGTGACTGCTGAGGCTGCAAAATCGCCACACTGGAGCTGGGCCAAGCACAAACTGCGTCAAGAGCCTCACCTAGACGTTGCAAACGGTTTTTGCAAAGGCTGAAATGAGACGCGCGCACTCCAGACGTTGCCTATGTCACAACTGAGCAAGAGACTCCAAAAGAGTGAGCTGCTATAGACGCGTGCATCCCAAGCCAAATGCCTCGGAGTGAATGACATGCAACATGGTTGCATGTTGAAAGGCCGAGCAATTGTTGATCATCAAACCCTCTCCAGCAGCAAGGATGACACAAGCAATCTTGGGCCAAAATGAGCTTCTGAAACTCCCCTTGCAAGCACGTGCCAGAAAACTGCCTGCAGCTGCCGCCAGCATCGCCAACAGCAGTGCTCCAGTTGCAACAAGTTGGCTGCCCAACTTCCGATACGTCCGCCCTTGCACGTCAAGCCTTCAAGCTCAGTGCGAGACTCAGCACAAAATACAGGACACCAGAGCCGCTGGTGGCTGCCAGGATCCTCAGGGAAGCCACCGGGATCGGGATCCTCTGAAGCCCCAAGTCTGAGGTCTGTGCCAGTGCAGCCACAAAGGCGTGACGCCAGGCTTTGGCATGCCCTCTGTGAAAAGCATCACGCAGAACCTGTGCCGTGCCCGGATTGGCCCCGTTCACACGAAAAGGCAGCATGGCATAAAGTAGCTTTGCTATGTCAAAATCTGCAGGAAGCCCGAGTCCGCAGCAGAAGCTGAAGGACGTTGATGACCATGTACACCTCAGGTGAGCAAACTGCTGGGTTCTCATGGGCAATGTGGCCAAAAATACTTATCAAGTCAAGCCCTTGAGCATGCCATGCAACACTGTGATGTCATCGGCAGGCCATGCGTCAAGCTTGGCACATCCATTTTGGACACGGTGAGGTCTGTCAAGTCTCGGATGTCCTTAAGCTTGGGCCGCCAATGCAAAGAGCGCGTGCACACCACACAGATTGCAGTCGCAAGCCCCTGTAGAACCCAAAAAGAAGGTAGCTCTGGCATCCGCTCCTCTCTGTAGAGCTCATGCTTCTTGATTTTCATCTCTTGACTGAAGTAGACCTTTTCTCGGTTCTGCTCCTCAGGTGTCAAGCGAGGCGCAGATCAACGCACCTGGACAACATGGAGACGTGAAAGTAGCGTCCCGCCTTGTCGAAGAAATAATTCTTGCGGTTGTAGGTCAGGAGACCCGAAGCTGGCAAAGCGCGAAAGCCGCTCACGAGACGCGGGCTGTCAGAAGGTGCGTTGGCTGCTTGACCAGTGCACGTGATTCGCTGCATCCGCGAGCGGTGCAACTAGGACGCAAAAAGTAGCGATAGAGAAAAGAACTAGAGGGTGATTGGCCCGAAAGCATGTTGCCGCCATGTTGGCATGTTGCCGCCAGGTTTTGTCAACAAATCGCTCTGCGCAAGTCGCTCTGCGCAAGTCTACACTTCGATCTCTGCGAGTACTCTGCACATGTTGCTTTGCGCAAGTTGCCCTGCGCAAATTCTGCGCGCAAGACACCTTTGCAAGTTGTTCTTCGTAGATTCTCTGTGCATTGACGTTCTGCGCAAGCTGCTCTGCACAAAGTTACTCTGCGCGATTTGCCTGCGCAATGGCCCTATGCAAGTTGCGATGCGCCGACAGTGCACAGTGCTCTGCGCGAGTTACTCTGGGCATGTGTCTCTGTGCAAGTGTCTTTGAACAAGTGTCTCTGGCAAGTTGCTCTGCGCAAGTCTGTATGCCGCTCTGCGCGCATTTGCTCTGGGCAAGTTTCTTTGCGCCAGTTGCGAATGCACCGCGCGTGCTACTTGTGTGCTTAAAAGTTGCGAGTTTCCAGCCGGAGCTGCGGGAATGCGCTTTGCGTGCTACTTTTGTTCTTACGATCCCCGCAGAGGGTCGCGGAAATAAGAATCCTCAGTTTCTGTATACCGACCACGCTGATCCCCGCAGAGGGTCGCAATCCAATCCAGTGCGATGACAGCAACCCGATCGTCTGCCAAAATAGAAGAATCTTACTACCGGGCTCTATTCTCTATAGACGCTTGACTCTTTACCCAGACTGTTCGCACGCAGACTATACCCACGCTACTGTCGTGCCCAGACTATGCCCAAACCATTCCCAGACTGCTCGCCTCGGTGCAGAAGTTCGGAGTGACCGATGCGGAGCACACATATCCGAGATGGAGATCGCACTTTGGTGCTTGCAAGGACTTTGGCTGATTTCGAATGTGGGTTCAGGAGGTCCACACAAGGGGCCCTTTGATTTCCTCCCCCCCAAACCTCTTGGCATGCGATTCCCTCTGCCTGCCACGCCCCCTGCTAGCAGCTCCATGACGCCTGGAAGGGTACGCAGCGGGGGAAGGGCCTAGGGGTTTGCCGATATCCACTGGAAACGAACACATGCTAAAAGTGGATGCCCCATTCCCAAACCTCGTCAAGCATTCCAAGATTTCTTGCTAGCGCAAGCCATTGTACTGTGACGGCATGGGATCAGTCCATGGTCGCTTGCCTGGATCGCGCGCTGCGATGGGCGATGCGCTGCAGGAAAAGGTCAGTTGGCACGGCAAGGCATGCCTCTCAAGGTTGCGGAGTTGTTGCAAATCTTGAAAATGCCCAAATGGGCTGCACCGGCGAATGAGTTGGAAAAGGCACACTGATTCGGTGGGCGGAGAAAGAAACAACTCTTGGGAGAGGGGTGCTCATTTGTTGCTCGGCTGGGCTAGTGTGATTCTCGGGTCTGACCCGATAAAAGCTGGAGCAGCGCGACGGGGTTCCTCACATTTTCCCGTTGAGTCCATCATGGCATGAACTAGTTGTGGCGATGATGCTGAGAAGAATTGCTTGGTGAGGCTGATAGGCCTTTCTTGGACAAAGGTAATCACAATGAATTGTCAAGGTGATTCGAGTGGGTGTGCATGGACTCTGCCAAAGCCGGCTCGCATCAGGCGGCCGATTTAAGCGCTGCGCGATCTTCGCCATCCACGCTGGGGAGGAGCCTTTGCCTCTCTCTGTCTTCGCGTGCCATTTTTGCACACGAGCCTGCGCCTGACAGATTGGCCCATCAGTCAAGCATCGAACTTCAAGCTACTGGAGGCAAGTGGCATCTGCCTGGAAAAGCCTCCCTGCGAGGCTTCCCTGCACGAGAACGGGCCATGTCGAGCCTATCAACGCAAAAAAATGCACAGCAACAAGTTCACAAACTTCCGCCAAACAAGTGTGCACACTTAAGGCTTTGCCGCGCGCTGTGCAGGAAAGCAGTGCTAGGAGTACGCTTGGAACTCACGTGTCAATCGTGGAGCTCGATGCGCCACGTCTTTGGAGACAAGCTAATGTACAAGTTGGCAAGACTAGCACCTGATAAAATGAAAATGGAATGCCAATGGTGTTCTGTATCAAATCTATGAAAAATATGTGATTTGCCCAATACCTTTGCCAGGAAAAAAACGTGCAGTCATACCTGCAAATGCATAGAGCCCGGCATGTCAGTCGTCCCGCTGTAGTAGGCAGGCCACACCCCGCTTGGTCCAGTACTTCTCTGTGTGCATTCTGGTGATCCTGGATTGAAAGCACCGTCAACACTTGCTCCTCTTGATTCTGAGGGGGACCGTTTGCTTTCCTCCGAATGGCGCGCGGACTGTGTGATGCAATGCCCCATCCGTATCAGACCCACTGTCCAAATACACTGGCGCACATGTGGTCGGCAAACATGATCATGCAAACCTCCAGCGAGCCAATGCTGGCAGGCGGCGGGAGCAACAATGTCATCACAAAGTTGGTGCTGTGGCCTGTGGTGGTAAGCGTGCCTTTACGTCCAGACCTCAGCTATGCTTAGATTTGTCTTGGTGCTCAGTCTCACGTCTCAAGCCTCCTTACGAGAAGCCTAAAGTCCTCCCAACTTGTTGAAGCCATGACACGTCTTGTAGAGCGGAGATGGGTACACCGCTTTCCTGTCAGTTGGGTCCTGGCGAAGAGCAAACGTCTTGAACACACGGGGAGAGCAAGGGTGAAGTCATCTCTCTCAGACCCACTTGGCACATGCAAAGCTTTGTCAGCCACATGAAAGCATATTAGGCTCGAAGCGCCGACATGCAAAGCCTCGCTCCCCCGTAAAGCGACAGTTTTGGGTACTACATAAACTGGAAACCCAAGCCATGCACTCCTTGGAAACCTCACAGGGCGTCAGGTGCACAGTTGGAACCACGCCTGAGAAGGTAATTTAAAAGTTCACAAACTCTCTCTGAATGAGTTTGGAATATTTGCTTCAGCAGCAAGATGCGTCTTGCATGATGACATCCACACAGCTCAACACATCAGCAGCTCCAATCATCTGCTGGCATGCTGCTCAGCAAGACCTTTGGAAAGCTTTCTGCGATGACGCCATCGACGTCATCCCATCCTGGGTGCGACAACTGAGGATCCTAAACAAGAATGCGTAGTGTTTTCTTGGGCCTCGTTTCTGCGGCGACAGCTCAATAATCAAAGTGCAGCAGCATGCCTTGTCAGCTACTGGATAAATGCAGACAGGGCGCTTGCCCCATCCATGAAAATGCCGTATGCCAAACAACCCGTGGTAGGCTTGACGTGCTCGGCATCCAGCTTCAACACACGGAAGTTCCAAATGAGCCTCGTATGAAAAGCATCTGACGGTTCGGATCCCTCCAACTAGTTGGTTGCTGCTTTTATATAGGTCTGCTTCTCAAAAAAGCACGCTGCAAAATTGGTAGGTCCAAACAACAAATAGCTTTCAACTAAGCATGCAAAAAAAGAGATGTGCACCAACTCGGGTCAATCAAACCTCACTCCATCCAAACAACATGGTTGTCGCCTCTGTCTCGCTTTCTATCTCTCTCCATCTCTCTCCCTCTCTCTTTCCTTTTCGCGGCAGACCCGGCACTCACCAAGCTGTTTTCCAAGCCACGTATCAATGGGCAAGTGCAGCTTCCGGGCATAATTCTGCAGCTGCCCAGTCAGGAAAGACTGGGTGAAATAGAAGCCTGGCCATGACTCGGAAGTGGGCAGTTGCATGTGCCTAAAAATTGGTCCATATAATGGTCAGTGATGCATGTCGCTCGCGTCGTTGCCTGTGGACTGTCAGGAGTGGCAAAGCAAAGGCCAGCCTGAAAGCCAGTAGGCAACAGGCGTTCCTTCCTCCAGCCACTTTGTGAAGAAGGCAACTCCTCAGCTGCGTATGCCCTTCCCAAACAGAAATTGCAGGTCAAAGCGCGTCAACCGCGTGTACCATGGCCAAGCCGGAGCTTTCCCAATTAAGAGTTGGGGTAAACATCACGCAGACCGACAAGCGATGACTCGGTATCGAGTTTCGCTCGCACAGATCGGCCACGTAAGACACCATCGGCTTGAGCGAGGGGTATGACACCTCGATCCAGACCTCGAGCAAGCTGGCGACAGACAGCTCAACATTTGACGGGTGCTTCCTCCAGTCAGGACAGCACTGATTGGTTACTCCTTGCTTCCCTATCTCCAACCGGTTCCAAAATTTAGGAAGCCCCTATCCAGTGTGTTCAGTCAGAAACTCCCGTTTCCCGTTGCAAGTCTATACAAGTAGAGGAAGAGCTATCAAGATGATCTACCCAAGACCACATAAAGAATGAACCAGGCGACCGCACCCGTTTGTCGGCTGGATTTATCCCTTGCTAACCTTCGGGTTTTGATTCTTGATTGCGGCTCAACTGAAGATAAGCCACAGATGGAGTGCGGTCGGTCAAAATGCCGTCGGCGACTTCCTCCAGTTCGGGGCTCATCACCACCAGTCCTCGGGCACTCTTCCCACATCCGGGAGGGAACCCCCCCCCAGCTTTGGTTGGTTTTAAAGGGAAACCAAGAAGACCACGGACGCCGAAAAGGCGGGCTGTCCTAGAAAAAAACGCCCACACCAAACACACCCGACGGAGCTGCACGAGGGCCTTGAAGGACACGAGGCTCGGTTTCGCACAAAGACTGGCCTTCCGGGCCAAGTCGCCCTTCACCGCCTTGCCGACATCCGTCAACGTGCTCCTCACCTTGACGATCAGCTTGTTGAAGCGCAGAAGCTCCTAAGTCAGGCGGCAACTTGTTCGGGAACGTCTCAAGACGTGGGCGTATCTTTTTTCCGAGGGTACCTCCTTTTGGTCGGCTTAAAAGGAAACCAAAGGGAAACCCGCCATTTTGGTGGTGCGCTGAAAAAGGACACACCCAAATAAAAGGACCCCGCAAGTGCTTCTAGAATTTCTGGAGATAGAAACAAAAAGAAGCTGTGTCAGGCATTCGGCAAGTACATCTAGCGCACACCCTGGAGTTCGACCCGAGCCGGGAAAGGACTAGCCAGGTGGGTTGTTACCCCCGATCAGTTCTCTCCAAGACCAACCTTGAGCCATACCGTATGATAATACCAATTGCCACGGTGCTTGGTTCAAGACCGTGTTCATGGACTCGTTGTAGTCCACAGGGTACTTAACGTTGGAAGCCTCGGTATCGTAAAATCGGCTGCTGAAAAAATCCTCATATGAGCTCTCCCGCCTCTGTATCAAATGGCGGTTTCACATCTTGTAGGTATGTGGTGGCTGCCTGCATGCATATCTAGCATCGGTCAAGCACAACTTCTGTTGCCCAATTTGCTCTGGTTAGTGATCGTTGTAACTGGCAAGTAGCAACAACAAGGGAAGCGTGGTATCCCCACAGCTGATCCTTGTGGGCACTCGCAAAGCTATGCCATCTGTCAGGTACTGTGACCTTGCCTCAGTGATGATATCATCCTGGGACACTCCAGCACCACCTGTGGGAAACATGCCGGGCAGATCAAAACGAAGAAGAAGAAAGTTGAAAAAGCTTGATTTGCCATCGTTGTTGTTGGCCCCCGACAATGTTGCCGAAACAACAGCTTTCAACAATCCAGATGCAGCGTGCCTCCACCTGTCTTGGGCTGCAGTGAAGCTGCCGTTCCCAGCAACCTCATCGCCTGGCCGCGGTGCCAAGCCCCACGCACCCCACGCACCCCACGCGCCACGAAAGCGCTTTCTACTGCGCGCCTCGCTGATCGCTGCCACCAGGTTTGCGTTGGCATGCAGCCCGAAGGCCTGCGAAAACGAAACCCGACACCAGGCCTACGAGAGAATAAACTGTCCTGGGCGACTGTGTGCCAAAAAAGAAAACCGTCTCAGAGTCTGTCCTCCGGCATTTGGTTGATGGGCAGGTTGCGAATGTACCTCCCCCAGTGCGCAGAAAGAGGTCGCAGGGTGGAGGGCTTTACTGGAGATGCGCAGTGCCCTTCGAGCCAACCGCTGGCGATTGCCCGGGCACTCCACGTACGGCTCCAGGGAAGAGCTGTAGGCAGGAGCGTAGTAGATGCCGGAAGGCTGGCATTGTCGCATTGGCAAGGCATGACGGAAACATAGCCAACATAAAAGAAGGGGTAAAGAAACAGAGAGAGAGAGAGAGAGAGGCCAAGAGCAGCGGAAGGTGCGGAAGCAAGAAATAAATTGCGGCAGTATTGCATGCACATGCCGAGGTCCCGCTTGCAGCTTGAATTGCAAGATGTGCAAACAGCAAGCGGTACCGAGAACTTGTAATCATCCTTGAGAATATCCGGGCAGTAGAAGTCCGAAAGCAGAAAGTTGATACATCGGCCTCAGCCAAAAATGCGTGCAGGTTCACAACAACAGTAGAGCCACCACTGATCTTGGCAGTATGAATGAGAGAAAGGCTAAACATTATCCAAAACTGGAAGTCCGTTTAGTAGAACCCATTCAGGATGGCCTTGAATCACTTCCTTGCACTGCACCTTGGACACCGGGCGGTCGTGAACATCTGTCACCCGTCCGCCATAGTTGGCCTCGGAAACATCCAGCATCTCTGGACCATCAAATCTCCTGCAATGCCTCAAATTGATTAAAGCAAGCGCCTCCGCTGCTGTGTACTGCAGCGCCGCATATGGCACAATGTCGTTCTCCTCCAGAAACATCCTGGGAAGGCATATCCGGGCACCAAAGATGGGGTTCAACTGACAGGGTCCAACTTGCACCAATGGACGGTAGTGTGTGTGTGTGCGTGTCGCATCCCACTTGGGTTCGCCCAACTGTATACTTGTGCCTGTGATTCTGCAGCGCCGCTTGCCCTAACTTGTCCTCAGCTGCATCATGCAAATCTGTCGATCTGGCTCCGAGAACTGATACCTGCCAGGCGCTCACTATACGGCTGATCGAAGCCAGCCGCCTTTGACACTGTTCGTGTGCAAGAACACAAAAGCACAATCATGGCTCCCAGACGAAGCTTGCAATTGGTGCCACCAGATCAACTCAGCCTACATGTCCTATGAAAGGGTCCGTAGCGATCGCCACGCCCACTCCAACACAACCAGCTACTCTCTTAGCGTAGCTACCGATCCGTCAGAAGACCTAAGTCTCAAAGGAACGCGTCCGAGTCATTTTCTCTATGACAACTCCTCGTTCAACACCTGCCAGCACCACGGGATGTTCCAGCCCAACGGGCCGTATGTGCACCGCTCCTGACGGCTCCGCACCGCCGCACAAACATTCACCGTATGCTAGAAGCCAGCAAGCTATGGCAAACCACAAGGAAAAGGGCCATTGTCCCGCCTGAAGTCGACAGCAAAAACCAGTCATGTTGAAGAGGTGTTCAAGCCATTTGGTTCAAGGGAATGCCTTCTCACAAATGTTGAGGCATAAAGTCATTTCTTGCAGGTTGACTTGCTAAGGCTGCTAAGGCAAGTAAGCAGCCAGAAGTTGAGCCCCTGTCCCTACCGGCCCTGTCATGACCGTGTTTTGGTCTGCCATGCGCAAATCTTCGCCGACTGGAAAGGGTCCCTTGTGAGGGACTTCCCTGCGTTCATGCCACTTCCCCCGCCTGGATCAAGGCGTGGAAGAAGCACAGGCCAAACAGCATCTTCCTGTTGAGCGACAGTCTCAAGTGGCCATGGGTCAAAATCCCGTACCCCCAGTGAACATCCCAATCCCCACTAAGATAGACTAAAATGGGTGGTGCACCTACCCCAAAATGGTACCATTGGTTTTGACCCACAGCCAAGTTGCGGTTGAAACCTGTTGCCAGAAGTGTAGATTCTCAACACTCCCACAGTCTGCTGCTGAGCCTGAAGGTGTGCTTGCATTCCGTGCTCTTGCCGCAGGCGTCCACGAACCTCGCCCAACCATTCCACTTCCATATGGGTATGGGTCTAAACAGCAGTGCCCAAGAAACTGTCAGTTTCCTTTTGGTTGCCCGTTAAACCAAGGTGAAGAGTACCCCAAGACAAACTCACCCAGGCAGTGTCATCGCCTGTGTTCCTCCTCTCCCAATCAGCAACCATGCGGGCGGTTGGTCAAGATGCTTGTCAAAATGCAGTCACTGCCTGCATCTCTCAACAGCTAAGCCTCTCACCAATCATGATCGATGGATGAAAATGCCCGAAGCAAGTTTGACTTGAGGCCTGCCGGAGATGCACAATTCGGCCACTGACACCTACTAGCCGAGCTGGCCAGCCGCAAACTTCTGAAGCCAGTCGCCCCGCCTTTCGGAGGCTCAATGGTCATTTTCATGCCGTTCTGCAGCACCGAAATGGGGAACTCCGGGGATGGCATGGCTGTCCTCGCATGAAGCCGCGTGGCTTTGATCTCGGCCATGCGGCTTCACGAAGCGTGGCAAAGCCAGGGTGCCCCGAAAAAAGGGAGCGTCTTGGATTACTGAAAGCTTGAAGCCTGTCGCCTTGGCTGCTTGGCTTCGCATAGATCTCTCAGCCCCATGCAGCCACAAGCGAAATTGATCTGCTACCTGCGCAAAGACAGTCGTCTAGCTGCAAACTCATGACAGCTGCCAATTTGTTCAGGCATCAAAAACAGAAACCATTCAAGCATCCGTACTCGTGAACTTTGCGCCTGCCTTGAGCCTGTTTGTTGACTCCAATGGTAAGTTGGTGAGTATGCCTGTAGATAACAATGAATAAACTAGCGCTGTTCAAAACCAAGGCGGTTGCTCGAATATAACACGGTTTTGACGAGCACCTTGTCGGGAGTGAGTTCCTCCACCATAACCTCCAGAGTTGGCATCCAAGAAGGCGCTAAGTGGCCTCGCATTTGTTTCCCGGTGTGAGAGGCAATAGCGACATCCAAAACTTGCTGGTGCTCAGCAGGGCTAGGGATTCCCTTAAAGGAAGGTACAAGGGATGGCTAAATAGGGGCATCCCATTTCTCATTCCCTGCTGAGCACCAGCAAGCAAGCAAAAACCCACGCGGAGTCCTCAGTTCGTGGCCAAACAAGAAGTCAAGTCCGCGAGTTTTTTCTCAGGCTGTGGCAGTTCTGAAGGATGACCCACATGCCCTGGTCCACGCCGTCCTTGATGGCACGCCCCGCCTGCACAGAAACCAACCGCTTCTTCCCCAGCTGGCCGTTAGATCCAGCGCCTTGGGGCCTTGGCCTTGACCCAATGAGACCTGGCACCCAAACGAGGCCAATCCAACTGGATGGACTGACCTCTCTGCCACTGAGGTGTTGCATACCTGCAAATAATACATTTATGTATATTTATAATATACATATTATGTAGACTGTGCCAACAAGCGCGCTTTCTCTAGGATCCAGGCACTCTCGTAGGATGCAATCCACCAAAAACAGGCATGGACGCAAGAAGGCACGCTAAAAAGATTTGCTGCCTATCGGTGTGCAGTGTGCAAACGAGCTTGGTCAACGACTACACGTGCAATCATCAAACTGTCCACATTGTGGAGGCAGTCGTCATTGTTCCATAAATCCGGGTGCTTATGCTGGTGGTCTCAGCCCCACCAAGGGTTGATGACTATCCGAACAGGTGTATTGACTCTTGCCAAAGGCACACACGAAACACTGTGACTGCGTCAGCATCAATTCGCAGGGCCGGCCGTGATGTACTTGTCATTCATGGCAAGCTTTTGGGCCAAGCGGATGACCTCGACCTGGCCCATTTCTGGCTCCACCGCAAAAACAGCCACGCCGTGAAAATCTGGAAACTAGGGCGTGCGTGGCAAAAATGTGGCTGCTATTAGCATGCTGTAAACCAGCAGGCAGACCATGGGGTCTGCGCCAGGGGACAGCACAAAGATCAAGGGCTTGCAGGGCGAAGCAGCATCGTGGAAAGCCCTGCGGCGCGCTTCAGACACGCCCAACGCACCGCTTCAGCTTCAGAAGTTCGTACTTGTCATCTTGCAAACGAGCTGGGCTGCCCGACTTCTCCAAGTTGAAGGATGGCGGTTCAAGGAAGCCCTTGCCCAAGTTGCTCGCGATCACCTGCCGGGATCCATCCCATAGCCCGACCACCTTCAAGTATGCTTAGTAAGAATAAGCTCCTTTCTTGTCCTTCGCAGTACTGTTTAAAGGGACCCGTTTTGTGAAACTCAGATGTATTCTCCAATGTGTTGTCCTGCGCTGTGCAATCCCCAATCTCTGCTTGCAGGCACGCCTCCTGCAATCCAGCGACGGTGCAATCAGTCCGGACCTGTCGCGACCGGTACCCTTCAACTGGTCTGCACATATCATGCAGCCAAATCGGAGATATGTGTTCGTCAAAGATTGCTCGCAAACGTGTTGAGCCCAGGTACTGCGAGCAGCACCAGTGCCCTCTGCAGGGCTGACATCTGCTCCTGGAGTGCCGGCCGCTATGTGACGGCAAGCATCCTCTACTGTGGAAGTGCCATTAAAGTATTCCCATCTTGGGCCGTTTTGTCTTGTTCCCTTTGTCATCCTGAGAAACAGTGCTGACAACTCCTCGAATCGAGTCATGCACCGGTGATTTCATGCGGGTCCTTGCCAGGCCAGTGCTCTGCTAGAGGATTGTCAGAGTCGAAGACGTTCTTCCACTTTTCCACATTGTCCTGCACTAGGCCATGATCCCCCTTTGCCAAAACATCATTTACATGGGGATTGGGGATTTGGGTTCACCAACCATTTGAGAGCAAAACTGCATAACCATGTGACAAAAGCCACACACCAAGTAAATGAAGGCTGCCGTGGTTCACATGGCATGGTCCTTGAACGAGTTGGCGAACTTGTACCAAGGACCCTTGCCCAGCTTGTCCAAAACGCATATCCTGGCAACCCATGTGCAAAGCAACTGTCTTTTGACTCAGTACACAAGGCCATTGACACAGCATTCGGCAAGCAAAGTACACCTTGGAATATTACTGCAGCCTGGAAAAATATCTGAGGAGGCACAAGCCAACCAAGTGGCAGCGCATCTTCCATTGAAGCATTAGAATACAAATCAAGGCCAATGTTCGACAATGTATCACAAGGTACCGCAATGCAATCAAAACACGAGATCCTTCCCAAAGGTGGCTTTCAGTTTCTTTGTACTCAGCAATGGCGCCCTACGCTTCACAGTTGCCTGCTGTCCCGCCTGCTCCACATCTTGTCCGTCAGCCAGTCTGCCGGCTTTGGGGTGTGCGCAGTGCCACCCCCCAGAGCCAGCAGCAGCAATCGCCTGGAGCCGAACGCCAGCGAAGCAGATCCGTCCCGTTCAGTACATTCCCCAGGCGATTTTGTCGGATCCCGACTCAAATTTTGATGCGCTCCCATAGGCCCCAAGAAAAACATGTTGACACGCTGCCATGTCCTCAGCACCATCCCATGCAAAGCGTCGGTTGAAACAACTGTTAGGCATTCCTGCTGGCATCCGTGGGTGACTCCAGTGCGGTCAAACATGCCAGGAGCTACTTTTCCTCCAAGTTGATGTCATCATCAACCTTCCGGGCGAAACAAAGCAAACATTGGATTGGTGCAAGTTACAAGCCAGCCGATCCCAAAATCAAGATGCTCTTTCAAGCACGCAGCAAGTGCATAGAAGGCATGCAGTGCTGCAGGGTTTGTCCAGGCAACAGCGCAGCGCAAAATGTTCAAGCCTCCATTGACTTGAAGGTCAAAAGAAGCGACAGCATCAGTTTGTCCTGCACATTGCAAGTGTTCTTGGCCAAAATCTCTCCTTCCCACGCTTCAAATAATCCGGCAGTGTCGTATCGTCCAACGTCCATACTCCCAACTCTCTATAAGTTGCCAATGTGCGATTCAAAGATCTAATCGAGGCCTGCTGCTCAAGCTCGACCCGTCCTTCTCAAAGAGAGAGTGACAGGTCTGCGCCTAACAGGCTCGCTTTCTTCTGAAACTGATTCCCACACAATAATTTTGGGCATTGAAGTACAAGTATTGACCGTGGGTGCTTCCCTCCTGCAAATAGATTGCGAGCAAAACAAACATGTAGCTGACACTGTAGGATGAGGATATCCCAGAAATTGGATTTTCCTGCCCGCGTTTTCCAAAATTGACTCGAGCGTTCTCTCTTCTCGTCACCACTAACACCAGTTGTTGAAGTGTCGACGGCAGCAGGTTCTGGCCATTTTCTTCGCAAAGCAGCGCCCCAAGCCTCATTGCCTGTACCCTGAAACATAAGCAGCCACCCCAATGAACAACCTGTGCGTATCGCCATGCACGTCGAATTCCTGCAGCTCAGCAGGGCTTCTTGGCCACAGCGTGTCAGGTACAAAGACTGTTTCTGAGGGAAAAGCACCTGGATGACACTTACCTCTACTTAAATTCAGCAACAGTAACAGTTTAGGAAAAAAAAACTCAACAGAAGAGCTGCTCTCACTGCCGCCGAAGGAAGCCCTTCCTGTCAGTGTGATCTGCACGTCACAAAGAGCTACAGCGCACGCAAATCAGCAAAAGTTGCTGGTGCGAAAGAACATGGCCTTCAAAGATCTGGCAATTCACATTGAGCAGCCGCCACCAAAACTCAGCCTGTTGGCTCTACCAACATGGATATTAAGGTTGGTACATGCCTGACTGTAACCCCTGCAGAATCAAGTAGAACCACCTACACATATGGCCAATGGGGGTTCCGAGCGCTCACTTGATTCTGACAGCAAAGTCAAAAGCGTTGCCTTGCCCCAGATTCTGACAAACATTCAGCCACTGCCGTGCCACAGGCAGTACCTTTAGGAAAATCAAGGGGCCGTCTTTATGTCACGAGTGTTGTGCCAATCCTCGCAAAGCGGGGCCCTTCATTTCTGCGCGAAAGAGACAAATCTGCACAGCGATGCATGCCAAAGACCGCAAAAAGCAAACAAACAACAATTAGAAGCAAACTCAAGAAGAGGGACATCTAAGCCCGTATTTAAGAAACATGTCCGCAGTCGTCGTTTATGAGTCCCAAAGAATGGCCTGCAAATGATAGGCTTGCAAAACACGCACGAGCACAATCCCGTAAGTTCCTACCAAAGTACCAGACTTTTGCATTGCACATATCAGGGGCAGAGTAAAAACACAGCAAGCTAGAAAGTCGCAGGGCAAACTGCAGGCGTGCGTGTGACACTTGTTGCAAGCAATGATAGTATCAGAAGAGACTACGCTGTAAACACGATTTCCTTTGGGAGTGTTTGTAAAGCCAACAAAAAGTGAAGCTGAGCAGGGCACGTGGGTTCTCGATACTTGAACAAAGATGGTGGTTGCTTCACTTGCAAGAGTTGAACGATCCAGTGAGCCACATGTCCATGTGCACGGTGGCTGTTGGATAGAAGCCGCATTGGAATGCAATGCCCAGCGTCCGTCCCGTCTCCATCAGCCAACAATGCTTTATTATGCCCCTCTTCATGGTGGGGCGAATGAGACCAAGCCGCTTGAAGTCGTTGATGATGTCACCCTTGGCAGCACCCAGGTCCAAAGCCGCCGCGATGGTCTTGGCCGCTTTGTACTTCCTTGGGAAGTAGCAATCGCCGGCTTCAGGCCACAAGTCCCAAAATGGGCGCCCGATTCTCCAAGCCTCGTCCCAAAATCCGGGCTGCGTCCAAGGCACTCGTAGCGGCCGAAGGAGGTGGTCCCCGGCCTTCAATTCGGTCCGAGCCAACCATTGAACAACTCTGCCAGCACAGGGTGCCCGAGGTGCTTGTGATCACAACCGTTTGTGTTACCGCGTTCCGCCTTCCAAGACGATCGGTCAAGTGAAAGAGTTCGAATTCACGCCTGCTTGATGATTCGGGGGTGAGGAATCCTCATATTTCGGGGCATCCCCCCCTATGAAACTGGTAAATTTAAGCGGGGTTGCAAATCAAAGTCACTCGAACACATCACGCGACTCAACATCTCCCTGCGAGACATGTCCAGTCCGATTCGGGCCTCTTCGGATTTTCGGCCTGCCAGGCTCAAAGCAAATTTCGCCAGTACAGCTGCAAGGCAATTCTGGTTCCAGTAGAGATGCTGGTGACCGGCACCTTGCACCACCCTGAACCGCGAACCGCACCAGCGTCCCCCCCCCCATTACCCTCGATCTTGTCCTAGATCTGTGCACGTCAGCGAGCAAAGAGCTTGCCTCAAATTCAACTGGCTCGTCATCTTCAGGAAGGCTTTTTCCGAGGTCCTAGGATGCGTGCAGAGCGAAGATTCTTGATTCACAGAGGAGACATTGGCGCGGGCCAATCAACGAGGGCAGCTGAAACTTTGTACCCAATTTGGACCGGCACTTTCGGGAAACAGAAGCTGCACAGCTCTCAAAGCCAAGAATCCGCCAAAGGCTTGGAGTCGTCGTCGTCAGCCGCGACCTGCCAGACTTGCATTCGAGCGGTCTCCAAGTGCCTTCAGCATCAGATGCTTTCTCCCGCGCCTGGGCCTTCTCCTTCAGCTTTGCCTTTTGCTTTTCCTTGGGCTTGGGCTTCTCCACAGGCTTCGGAACCTCCTTCGCCACGTCCTTCGAAACCTCCTGGATCGGAATCTCCTCCTTCTCACCAGCCCTGCTCCTCTTTGGACATGGTGGGGGAGACCCACCTGGCAGCAAATGTCGAACCAAGCTTGCAGGTGGACACTTTGAACTCGTCTTTTGTTTGGTTTGGGTGCACACACTGCAGTTCCTTGACCAACATTGCAGCGTGCTGGCAAATATTCCCTCGCTGCCTTCAGCCCATTTGTCGCTGGCCGGCACGGCGCTCCTGGCAAAATCTTGCAAAATGCGCCCTTGCCGGCTACATCGACATCTTGAAAGCTTCCCTTGCATGCGAAAGCCTCCTTCGCGCAAACAACTCTGCTCTCCCTCGAGGGGTCGCTAAACATCTATGTGCTGCGCTCTTCCAAGCCAGGGCACAGCTGCACGTCCCCTTTCCAGCCCAACTCCAGCGGCCTCAATAGCGCTCGGCCCCGACTGCAAGCTCGCGCCAATGGGTCAAGCTTAGAAGCTGAGACAAGGAGCGTCTTCTCAAGGTCTACAGAGCGATGAGCGCGGTCAAAGAAGAGAACCGCCTCACAGATCCGAAGAAAGCAAGGTCTTCACATGGATATTGGAAGCTGCATGTTTTACGCGGATAGTGATCATGTTAGGAACAACCCGCCCTTCAACCCCCTCTCAACTTTCATCTTAAGCTGTTTGTACTTCGTCGCCTCATTACATGTGACCAGCTCGGGCCCTTGGTTCTGGCTGGTTCCTGGGTGAGTCAACGTCATTTGAGTCACAACCCAAGCCTGATACTAAAGTGGACCCGAAATCATGTAAAGACTTGAGACACCGGATATCCGCATCTGGGAATATCCAAGTACCGGAGGGAATTTCATTGCGGCTTACCTTGGAAGACATAAGACTCAGCGACTTCGAGGCCCGCGTTGAGGGAAGGCGGAAGCATTCCCACGCCATGGCTCGCCTCCTCCTCAACACCATGAGCCTGGCGAAGGTGCCGACTCTGAAAGTGAGTCCCCTGGCCTGTGAGAATTTTGTTGACTTCCACCCCTGCCCCAAGGACCATAGAACATCAAACGCTTTTCTCCAAAGCTTCCTGTCATTGGGTCACATGCAAAAAACATCCGGTGAGGCTCAACACACGCGTTTGCCACCTCCGCCCACATGCGCTTCAGCGGCTTGCTCTTCTGCTTCGCAGGTAGAAGACATTGCCAACTGTAGCACCTCGCCGAGTTTTCCACGCAAAACTCCCTCAAAGATGGAGCTCAGGTTGGTTCACAGGGAAACCCAATTTTGACACACGCCCACATCCGGACATCCGTAAATGTTGCGCCCAAAAAGACAGAACTGTAAGGAATCCTGGGCTCTGTTTCTGCTTCTGTGGTCTCCTTGCCTCGTTTTACAACTCGCCTCACGCGTTTCGTGCAAAGCTGCACCTGGAGTCCTCATCCTCAGCGGTGACCTTCACCGTCACCTGAAGTCAAGAATCCCTTTGAGCTTCTAGTGTGGCCATCTCCATCTGTCCATGGATCCGGTTGGTTTGTTGGTTTCCCGAAACCGTGGCGACCTGGAACCAAGCGGGTCCAAAATGCCACAGAAGCCATGCAATGCCGCAGCCGCGGCTGGCACCGAGCTATCAGAGATCTGACCACTGCATTGCATGGACTTGCATTTCTGCCTGGGCTGTCTTGGAGACACCGTTGACCCTCGGGTTTCGGTGGGGGATTTACGTCCATCAGCCTTTTGGGAAGGTACTCCTGATTCACATTCACACCCACATCAGCCAAGGGCAGCACCTGGTCCTTCGCTTGCGCCGGTGCCATGGATCACATCCTTCTAGCTGCGGCTGTATGTCTGCACTTCTGCTGACCATGTCTCATGGTTTGGAAAAACAAGCTGCACGTCTGTCTGCATCCTCATCTTGCAAGCCCAACCAACTTGTCTGCTCAAGCTGAGGCTGGCTATTTGCCTGCTGCAGAGATGTTTGCAGCACTCTGTGGCCAACAGTCTCAATATGCCAAGGCCGTTTCTACACTTGTCTTGTGACCTCTTGTAGCTCATGCTCTGCGAGCGCCTGAAACAGGCTGCGGGACGCCGCGTGACCGGAACCTGCAACTGCACAACGCTCGGCTTCGAAGCCCCGTGCGCCGGGCGAACAGCAGCTCTAGGAACTTGCTCTGAAGCGCTGTGAGCCGCTTCTGGATGTTCCGCTCAAACTTCTCGGCCGCGGCCTGCCGCGCGTCGCGCTGAGCGTGATCCGTTCTTTGTCCATCGTTGGAAATGCGGGCTACGGGTCGAGTATGCCAAATTTGCGCGCACTCCCGATGCAGTCAGCTCATTCAGGCAAGTTCTGTTCTTCTTCTGCTTGGCGCCGGGCAATCGCGGACTCGTAGATGGAGTAAAACCTCATGCCGAACGCCGCGAAAAGCCGCGAACCCAAGCGGCAAGAGCCCGGCCATTCCAGGCTGTACTGATACATGGGTTCGACCTCAGCAGCCAGAGGGTGCCTGCATTCTAGGCGGAAAGGAAGCAAGTCTCCTATTGCCCAGAGACCACAAAGGCTGGACTGGTTCCTTGTCAAATGATTTCTGAGAGCAGGTAGCCATTGGGCGAAGCTTGAAGTGCACAGCCTAAAGTGCCACCATACTGCAATATAATATAGTGGAATGGCTCAGGAGGATTCATGATATTGCACCACGACCACCGACTACATTGCCAGCATCACCTTTTCGGCCCCACTCTTGGCAGAGACATGCAAACAGTGTCGGTTGAGGATGTCATGAAGAAATATATGTTGAGATTTCTGGAGAACCTGCTGTGCTGCAAAAGCGTTTTTTTCACCAACTTTAGCTCAGCGGTGCGAAACATGCAGGATACAAATATGCATGTGGGCGACAGTCAATATTTGTTGTGTGCTCCAATCCAATGTGGTGAGAAAGCCCCATTTCCCAATGGCACTTTAGTGAGTATACGTCGTGCCTTGCTCTTTCCTACAGTAGATGCCCGGAATATGATCGTAGCTCACGTGAGCAGGTATGCTTCAAATGTTTGCTCGCAAGCCTCGATACAGTGGAAGGTTCGGCCATGCCGTTGAATCAGAGATGCCGCAGCCGGCGTGGCTCACAAATAGCAGCGCCATGTGGACCGCATCGGCTTGCACCAGCTGCTTGAAAGCCTTTACATCACTGACATCGCTTCCTTATAATCAAACTGGACCTAAGAGAATCTCTAGTATCTCACTTCCTGAACCAACAAAATGCAGGTCGTGTTCGGGTCCTCAAGGTGCACAAGAAAGCTTGGGGCCCGACATTGCAAAGGTCCGCGACGACAAAGAAAAGAGCGCTTGCCTGCAACTGACCGTGCAAAGGGAACAGCGGGAACATCTTGTCATCTTCAACACTGAAGGATCGAGGGCATGCTGCAGACCGCAAACCTCATATAAAATAAAGTGCTGGCAAGCTGCCCGCACTGCAACGGGAACCTCAGCCCAGTGACGAATGTGGTGCGAAGGCCCTCGAATGGGAAGTGCCACCATCAAGCGCAATCTCCACCCCTCTCACTCTCTGTCACTCTCTCGCACTCTCTCGCTCTCTCTCTCTTTCACACTCTCTCTCTGACTCTCGCCTGCTCTAGCTTGCTCTTTCCACTCTTGTTTGCTCTCTCTTGCTCTCTTTTGCTCTGCCTCGCTCTCTGCCTCTCCAGATATGTCTTTCTTTCTTCCTTTCTTTCCTCTGCGCTTGACTCCTTCCTTATGTCCTTCCTTCCGGAGTTCATTATGTTGCTAGTCATGTATTGTTCAAATTATGTGTGTATTAATTCGTTTATATGTTGATTGAGTGTTGTATTGTTTATGTGGTGTTGGTTAAATTTATGTGTATGTTCATTGACTTATTTACGTTTCTTTCTGTCTCTACATGCTTATTTAGCGCTCTATTCATTTATCTATTTTGATTTTAGGTATTCTGTCTTGCTTGACGTTCTTTCTTTCTTTACTTATTTAATTGTGTCTTTCTTTATGAACCAATTTATTTATATATGTCTGTCTTTCTGTCTGTGGTTCTTATTCTTTTCTTTTGTATTCTTTCATGGTGTCAGTCTGTCTTTATTTGTTATGTCCTCCTTGATTGTTTCTTTATCCGTCTTTCGTTATTTTGTTCTTTCCTTCGTCTTGTCTTTCTTGATTTCTTTCTCTATGTTTTCCGTTTGTGTTGTTCTTCTTTCCTTACTTACGTCTCTTTGTCCTTCTTTCCTTCTGTCTTAAGTTATGTCCGTCTGTCTGTCTGTCTTTCTTTCTTTCTGTCTTTCTTCCTTCCTTCCTTCCTTCCTTCCTTGCTTGCTTGCTTGCTGGCTTGCTTCCTTCCTTCCTTCCTTCCTTCCTTCCTTCCTTCCTTCCTTCCTTCCTTCCTTCCTTCCTTCTTTTCTTCTTTTTGTGTCCTTCTTTTTGTCCTTCTTTCTTTCTTTCTTTCTGTCTTTCTTTCTTTCTTTCTTCCTTCCTTCCTTCCTTCCTTCCTTCCTTCCTTTCTTTCTTTCTTTCTTTCTTTCTTTCTTTCTTTCTTTCTTTCTTTCTTTCTTTCCTTCTTCCTTTCTTTCTTTCTTTCTTTCTTTCTGTATGTCGTTCTTTCTTTATTTATTCCTGTCTTTCTTTCTTTCTTTCTTTTTTTCTTTCTTTCTTTCTTTCTTTCTTTCTTTCTTTCTTCCCATTTTCCTTTCTTCTTTCCTTCTTCCTTTCTTTCTTTCTTTCCTTCTTTCTTCCTTTCTTTCTTTCTTTATGTCCTTCTTTCTTCCTTTCTTTCTTTATTTCTTTCTTTCGTTCTGTCTTTCTTTCCTTCTTTCTTTCTTTCTTTCTTTCTTTCTTTCTTTCTTTCTTTCTTTCTTTCTTTCTTTCTTTCTCACTCTCTCTCTCTCTCTTTCTCTCTCTTTCTTTCGTTCTTTCTTTCTTTCGCTCTCTCTCTCTCTCTCTCTTTCGTTCTTTACTCCTTTCTTTCTTTCTTTCTTTCTTTCTTTCTTTCTTTCTTTCTTCCTTTCTTTCTTTCTTTCTTTCTTTCTTATTTCCTTCTTTCTTTCTTTCTTTCTTTCTTTCTTTCTTGCTTTCTTTATTTCTTTCTTTCTTTCTTTCTTTCTTTCTTTCTTTCTTTCTTTCTTTCTTTCTTTCTTTCTTTTTTTCTTTATTTCTTTCTTTCTTTCTTTCTTTCTTTCTTTCTTTCTTTCTTTCTTTCTTTCTTTTTTACCTTCTTCCTTTCTTCTTTCTTTCTTCCTTTCTTTCTTTCCTTCTTTCTTTCTTTCGTTCTTTCTTTCTTTCTTTCTGTCTTTCTTTCTTTCCTTCCTTCCTACTTTCCTTCTTTCTTTCTTTCTTTCTTTCTTTCTTTCTTTCTTTCTTTCCTTCTTTCCTTCTTTCCTTCTTTCCTTCTTTCCTTCTTTCCTTCTTTCCTTCTTTCTTTCTTTCTTTCTTTCTGTCTTTCTTTCTTTCTTTCTTTCTGTCGTTCCTTCTTCCTTCCTTTCTTTCTTCCTTCCTTCCTTTCTTTCTTTCTTTCTTTCTTTCTTTCTTTCTTTCTTTCTTTCTTCCCTTCTTCCTTTCTTCTTTCCTTCTTCCTTTCTTTCTTTCCTTCTTTCTTTCTTTCTTTCTTTATTTCTTTCTTTCTTTCTTTCTTTCTTTCTTTCTTTCTTTCTTCCTTACCTTCTTTCTTTCTTTCTTTCTTACCGTCTTCCTTCCTTCTTTCCTTCTTTCTTCCTTTCTTTCTTTCTTTCTTTCTTTCTTTCTTTCTTTCTTTCTTTCTTTCTTTCTTTCTTCCCTTTTTCCTTTCTTCTTTCCTTCTTCCTTTCTTTCTTTCTTTCCTTCTTTCTTTCTTTATTTATTTATTTCTTTCTTTCTTTCTGTCTTTCTTTCTTTCTTTCTTTCTTTCTTTCTTTCTTTCTTTCTTTCTTTCTTTCTTTCTTTCTTTCTTTCTTTCTTTATTTTTTTGTTTCTGTTTTTCTTTCTTTCTCTCTTCTCCTTGCTCTCTTCTCTCTTGTCTCTTTCTTTTTCTCTTTCTCTCTCGTCTCTCTCTCTCTCTCTCTCTTTCTCTCTTTCACTCATGGCAGAATGGCAGCAATCCGCACACTTTCTGGAACAATTTGCCATAATACGACTGAAATTACATACTGAGGATCACGCATAGGTCGCTCGCGTCTCTTGCACTTGCGCTTGGGTTTTCTCCTCTGGCAACGGCTCTGTGGACAACTGCACCTTGATGCTTGAGGCGACCAGCTGACAACATAATCATCGAGCACACGGAGCCCTTCTAGTAGTTTGCCAGGTTTCTATTATTGGATATTGCTGTATGGTGATATTCGCAATGAGGAAGACGGGTAAATCACAAGAAAATGGTACGGTCGTGTCAAAACGCCCCCTGTATCCTGCGCACGGAATCCCTCTGATTCGGCTGGCGTTGCCTCAAATATTTGTCCCACATCCCTCTGTGTCGGGTCCCTTTCGACAGGTCCTGCTCCGCAACACGCTCTTCAATTCGCAGCGAGGCCTCGGCTTGCCCAGCTGATCTAAGGCGACTGAGGCAACACCCTACGTCAGAACCAGAGGTCCAATGTGATGCCCTTGCGAGGCTGGCCCTGGGCACCTGTGTGGGACAAAAGCCTCAGGGCATCGCTGTCTTTGATGTGGCCAAGGTGTTGATGAGCTCCTGAGCGCGGCCAGGGGTTGTGCGCTCAAACCGTATGTTGAGGTTCTGCATACAGTACCGGACAGGCTGTCTTCGTCCGTCCTCGTCATCCAGAATATTGCCCTTGGAGTCAGAGAGCAGTTGCAAGATGCGATCCTGCAACAGGTTTGATGCAACTGCAGCCGCCCTAACTTTGCATCAACAAACACGGATCCATATCTGAGATCCTCTATCTCCTTCAGCTGCGCTTTGCTCTGGGCCTGCAGTACGCATGCTTCACACACAAATAGGTGCTCAATCTACCCTCCACATGCAAGCTCTACACAATTCATGCGCGTCTAAAAAGAACCCCCCCTTGCAAAAGCCACACTTGCCACAGAGACTCCGTGCAATCTAAGCACAGCACGCTTTCCACAACCAGATTTTGCCGCTTCCGCTCCACCTCCGGCTCCTGGAGAAGGTATTAGGACTGCGAAACTTTGAGAGAGCTGCGGTGTGAGATCGAACAACCCCGAGCTGGAAGAGCGACTCATCCTGCGCGCGCCTCCTTGGCTACGAGGATGCCCAACATCTGATCCTGAAGCCCATCTGGGGTTGCCATGAAGTTCAGCAGCGTGACCTGTCGCAACGGCACTCCGAAAGGCGCAAACCGCAAACCGAAACGCGGAGCCAGGCGCAAGGATCACAAAGCCAGTGGAACCCTCAAAGGGATGCTGCTGTATTGCCAGCTTTGACATGAACCACAAAAGGGCCTACTTAGAACCCAACAGCAAGGTTCGTTTGAAGTAACGACAGCAGAGGTGGTGCCATTGGCTGGGGAACATGGCTAGTTCTGCATCAAGTCAGGCACACCGAGCCTGCACGCAAACCTCGGGAGAGTAATGTGGGTTTGGCAGCTTCGTGGTGATGAAGAGGCGGAAATCCTGAGAGCAGGCTGGCATTCACCCTAGAATTCCCACTACCATTCTCCTTGGCGGCTTCTGACAAAGCCGTGCCTTGTTGTACTCGCACTGTGAATCGCCAAGCCGGATCATCAACTCAGCGTGCCGCGAGGATTCTTCGCTGGCAAAGGCTCCCAAGTGTTAAAGAGTCTTGCTGGTGATGGTTTCTACCAGAGCCAAGAGACACCACCAAGATGCAAACAAGTCATTATGAAGCGTGCAAAGGCAAGGTGATAATTACGTTGCATCACGTCGAAATTTCTTGGCCGGCCACCACGCTGCCAGCTTTGAAGATCGCCTGGCGTTCGAGCGTGGAAGAAGAAACTCCGGAAGGAGACCAGGCCAGCCATACGTGGAAGAGTAAGTTTGACCGAGAAAGGCGATGAATTCTGCCAACTGATGCTGGGGGTCAATGGAAAAGCTTTGATTCGTGCCACAGTCAGCAACCCTTTTGGTACGTGTCGAACATAACAACTTACTCGGAACCATCCCTTTGGCGGGGTCCAGCTGGATGAATCGAGCTCCTCCCCGGTAGATGAGCAGGCAGACTAACTCCACTGGGCCAACATTTCTGGAGCCAAGGCTTCCGGATCCGCGTCATTTTTCCCCCGAATCCCTGGGATTTATGTTGGCCAAAGCCTTCCACCGGCCGTTTCTCGCCCCCTCTCCGCTGCGATTCGAATCGAGGCGCCTTCTGCAGCAGAGGCTCAAGCAGCGGATCCAGCTGCTCCAGGACCTCGGGCAGGTCATTTTTTGAGTGCACCCCCCCTCTTGTTGGGTCGTTTAAAAGGAAATTCAAAGGGAACACCGCCATTTTAGGGGGTCATTTAAGAGACATATGCAGAAATTGAGGTGGACGATTTTTGTGCATCTTGGGTGGGCGAATGGGCCCGTGGTCCTCAAAGAAATCACCAAAAGGAGACACCGACGTGGCCAAATGAAAGGAGCAGCATCTTCAAAATCAAGGCGAGATAGGTTTGCCTTTATTGTCACAAACATGGTCCTTTTCCGTCCTGGCTGCTAGGGTGCAAATTGTCAGGCACCAAAATGGTCCGTCAGGGCCCCCACATTCTCCAGCAGAACCGGCTTCCCGTAGGCGATGGCACCTCACAGTCCAAGCACGTGTCTTACTGGCGGAAAAGATGCGCATGTCAAACCAGGAGCCCTGCCAAAAAGGTTGTAACTCTTCTTGGTTCCTATTCACAACCGTCCCAAAAAAAGGGAACTGCCGGAAACACTGCCGTCTCATTGGGCTCATCCCCCCGAACAATCAGCTGCATGCTCCGCGAGCCACCAACCATCAGGGCTCCATTTGAGTTTGGCTCCTTGCGATTCTTAGTTAAAAAAAGAAAAAGACGCCCTTGGGCTGCAGCTTTCCAGCTCCCGCGCATAATTCTGGGTGAGGCGGAGGATTCGCAGCTCCCCTTGCCCTTAGGCGGCTCAAGCTTGGGCATGCCATGTTCCCTTTGAACAATCAGCCCCAAACGAGGGTCTAGTTTCTGAACATACCAATGTTGTCAAGTGGTCGGTGGGCTGTGCCTTCATGAGAACTCCCCGAGCATACGCAAAGCATTGCCTGCATAGGTCTTCCGCACCCATTGGTTTGCCTGGCAAAGCCAGCATGTCAGATCGCAAGTTGACTTGCCTTCCAAACTGAATCTGAGAGCTCTCGAATCCCTCGACTCGCGAATCGCAGCCTGAAGCTGCGGGTCAATCATCAGGGGCCACCTCCTGGACCTGCAGAATCAGCCAAAACATAGAAATGTGATGGATTCGTCCAGAGTTGGAGCCTCCCTTCTAATGTTTGGTTCCGTGTGAGGTCTTTTTCAAAACCATTTAAGAGCGGTCCCTTTCTTGAGGGACCACGGGTTTTGTTTGCTAGACATGATTGTTTTTTTAATCTGCAGGCTGTTGCCTTGGTGGCGGGTGAGACATGATGTGAACCCACGGCCGCCCAAACTGTTGATTTCATTGGCAGTGGCTCAAAAGAACGGTACCAAAATGGAACCCTGGTACCAAAATCTGCGTAACCCCTCCTGTTTAATTTTGACCCACAGCCTCATGTTGATCTTCTTTTAAAACGCCAAGTTGGGCACATACCGGCTCTCGGCTCGCCTTTGGATGATGATGGCATTCTCCACTGACACCTGCACGGCCCGGTTGCGTTTCTGAAAAATCGGAAGAGGGAAACCACCAATTGGCGGGGCCCCTATTTTGACACAAACCCACATGGAGAAAATCGGGGGAGGTATGTCACACTCGCGAGGCAAGAACGCCAAGAACTGCCAAGTATTGAGGTCTCCATGGTCGCCTAAACCAGGAAAACGATCCGTGAGGCTTGCGCAAGGTGAGCCAAGCAATTCACTCCAGTCATATGCGATTGTCGCGAGGAGATCCACCAATGCGGTTGACAACGCTCCTTTGCCAAACCTCTCCAACCAAACACCTAGATCAACATCTGCATACAAGCTTGAAGCCATCCACAAACAGGAATGCAGACAGCAGAATGTGCTGGCAAAGCAATTCAAAATGCTGTGTTGGCAAAGGATAGCTTGCACCAGGGCACTAAGCACGGTGTGAAAGCCGCTTGCATAGTCACCTGTGGTTCTGCTGCATAAATGAATATGCTAGGCTAGCCAGTGGGCAGAACTTTGCTCCATGGCGCACGCACGAGATCTTATCGCATCTGAAGAAAACATGCATGCCGAGCGGAGCCAAAAATGAAAGCTGAACGATCCTTGCTCCTGCTCAACATTGTTGCTACTGTTCAACAGACTTGCTCAATGCGGCCATGTGAGTTGCTCGGGGTAAGGGAGGATGTCTCTTGAGGATATTGGCAAGCAACAAATCGAGGAAGAATTCAGTTGAGGCCGACGAACACTCCCAGGGTTTCCATAACGATCTTGAAGCAGTGAGCCTCTGGATCAAATGAGTCAGACGAAAACCAAGGAAAGCGCTTGAGGCAGGAAATGGGTAAATATTTGTGATATTGTCTTTCCAGCAGGTTGATTCCTGGGACGTGCCGCATGGACAAGAGCCTTGCGCAAATTTTGTGTCCAGCATCTCTCATCTTCTTCGTCTCCTCCTCCTTCTTCTTCTTATTTTGGTTTTGTTTTGGAGATGAAGGTTGGCATGGAAAGGAGAAGATGCTGAAAGGAAAAGAGATGACAAAGTCAAGCTTCCCCGTCGTATAACTTTGATGGTTTCCCTTTCATGCATCACCAATCTCACGTCTTAACCTCCAATTTTCGTGCTCAGTCCCATGACAGACACGTCATACGGTTCATCCGTGCAGAACCTGCGATGTAACTCCTGGAACAAATGGTCAGCACCCCGACAGGAAAATAGCGCAAGCGAGAATCCGATGCGCCGACGTGATATGAAAGGAGAATAGCACGAAGCGCCCGCGATCGGTGCTCTTTTTCCAACTGCATCTGAGTCACAATCAACTCCTGGTACAAAAATGGTGAACCCAGAGCCATGTAAAGAAGTAGAAAGGCGGCCGCAACTATTTCTGGCTGTGATTGTCCTCACTAACCTTCATCTACCCAGGTTTTGATTGTGGCTCATTTGGCGTCGGGGCCTGGCCCTGGAGGCTGGCGGGGCGGGCGCTGGTCCATTTACCCGCCAATCCCCTAAGCCAGGCGCCTGGTGGGACCTGGTTTCGCTGGCGGCGGGCGGTGCTTCACCATCCGCACTTGCAACTGCGCCTGCTCTTGCCATACCGAAACTCCGGCAGCCATCCTCCTATCGTGCCCCACAGCCATCCTCCTTCCGACTCCGTCTGCACAACGGTCGCCAGCTCCCTCCTGACCGTGATGCGCGCCTCCCTCTCAGCTGTCTCCTCTTCAATTGACTCTTCAGCAGCTTCCTCCTGGGCATGCTCCCCCACAGCAACGCAACCTCATCCAAAATGACATCCTTCTCAGCTGTCTCCTCCATGTCTGCCTCTTCAGCTGCCTCTTCGATTGACTCTTCAGTAGCTTCCTCCTGGGCATGCTCCCCCACAGCAACCTCATCCAAAGTGACATCCTTCTCAGCTGTCTCCTCCATGTCAGCCTCTTCGATTGACTCTTCAGCAGCTTCCTCCTGGGCATGCTCCCCCACAGCAACGCAACCTCATCCAAAGTGACATCCTTCTCAGCTGTCTCCTCCATGTCTGCCTCATCCCACGGTGAGTAGAATGCAGCGGTCCTTACGTCGTCCCCTGATTCTGCGCCATCACAATTCTGGAAGCAGCTGCGGCCCTGGAAGAGCTTGTTCAGCTCCTCAAAAGCGGCCCAGGTCTCCTCCACGCGAGCCATGTTGGCCGCCTTCTTGTGACCCCTGCGCCGCCCCTCTTTTGCTCGTCTGGAGCTCTGGCTCACCGGATTTCCTCTAAACGGCCTGACTGCCTCTCAGCACGTAGGCTTCGGGGTCATCGTACTGAGGCTTCGCTGACTTGCTTGAAGGCCTCCTCGGCACCAGACTCCTTGCACTTGTCCGGGTGCAAGCGCAGGGCCAACTTCCTGTACTGCTTGATCTCATCGCTGGCTCCTCTTTCAACACCTAACATCCGATAGTAATCTCCTGCACTGGAGAGTTTCTTCACTGTCTCCGCCATGGTGACAGGCTGCCCAGCTAGCGCCAAGGTCGTGTCAGCTGGGGAGCCAGAGACAGCACGAAGCGCCCAGTACTACGTTCTAAGTGCAAATCTTAACACGCCAACCCACCTGATGCTGGTGCTATGAAAGTCAATTGCTTGGGTGATTAGTTCTGGGGAACAGCATTAAATTATCTATCGTAAACTAAATCAAGTCAGACGCCTGGTCGTTGGGAAGCTTGTCGATCACCCATTGGCGAATCTGCACCTGGCACCACAACTCGCAAGCTGTAGCTTGCGCTGACAAATGGCATCACAGCATGGAAACTCGCCTCAACGTTTCAAATTTAGTTTCTGTAGACAAATGCTTCAGATTCCTCCCCTGGAAAGGCAAGGAGGTGTCTCACAAATCTTACAAAGTGCTTGTCTGCGCTTGTGGCTTGCAATTACTGACGCCGAAGGTGTCCAGGCGATGCCTGCCTGTTGTGCGTGTGCGTGTGCGTGCGCGTGTGCGTGTGCGTGTGCGTGTGCGTGTGCGCGTGCGCGGGTGCGCGTGCGCGTGCGCATGCGCGTGCGCGTGCACGTGCGCGTGCGCGTGCGCGTGCGCGTGCGCGTGCGCGCGGCGTGCGTGGGCGTGGGCGTGGGCGTGGGCGTGCGCGTGCGCGTGTTGCGCGTGTGCGCGTGCGCGTGCGCGCGTGCGTGCGCGTGCGCGTGCGCGTGCGTGTGCGTGTGCGTGTGCGTGTGCGTGTGCGTGTGCGTGCGCGTGTGCGCGTGCGCGTGTGCGTGTGCGTGCGCGTGTGCGTGCGTGCGCGTGCGCGTGCGCGTGCGTGCGCCTGCGCCTGCGCGTGCGCCTGCGCGTGCGCGTGCGCGTGCGGGTGCGCGGGTGCGCGGGTGTGCGGGTGTGCGCGGGTGTGCGGGTGTGCGGGTGCGCGGGTGTGCGGGTGTGCGGGTGTGCGGGTGTGCGGGTGTGCGGGTGTGCGGGTGTGTGTGTGTTACTACTTCAAAGGCCAATTGAACTATTTCCGTACTAGATTGCATTTAGACTTAAATCATACTGAGGAATGAGCTCCTATGTACTGTTCTTGTCAGTCAAAGGTCAGTTGAATTCTGTCCGAACTATACGTGGTGAGTTACGTCCTATCTGGAAAGGAACCCGTATCTAAATTCTAGTTGAACATAAAAACAAATTCAGGCAGACAGCCGTACGAGATTCTATTCAGAAGTACACGGAAGACCCCGGGGCTCCAGAATTGAGGTAGGCTTTTGGGGCCCAAAATTGGACACGTCGATACTCAAATTTTGGACTTCAGATGTAACATGGAAACTGCAAGGGAGCTCTCGAAACAGCAATTCTAGCTAAATCAGTTGAACTTGAGTCTTATTTGGACAGGAGAACAGAATTAATTCCATCTCAAAAGGCAGAGGTAGTAGACGAGCAGATGTGGAAAGGTAGTTCATGGGAGGTCTGACGGTGTGTGAGCATACATGCACATACACATACTTATACATATGCATATACATCTACATATACATATACATGTACACATACACATACACATTTACACATGCATATAATACCCCGCATGATCCTGCGCCTCTGCATAAAGCACCAAAACCCACAGTATATGTGTTGCACCTACCTTTCATACCTCCTTGAAAAGGGTCATAGCCCACACAAATCAAGAAGCTCACCAACAAAACTTGAAATGTTTGTCTAAGAAGTTGAAAGTTTTTTCCACTGGATCGCTAAACGCTTCAAAGTTGTTCTTCTTACCACTGGGTTGAATATTCAAGATTGAAGATTGCAGAGAAACTTTCTTGAGAACCGTCAATGATGGCCAACCCTAAACAACTAAGTTATTCTATATATACTTGTTGAAAGAAAAAGAAAGTATTTTACCATTGGATTGAAGATTCAAGATTGACGAATTCACAACAAATGTGTCTGAGATCTTCCATCAGGGCCAATCCCAAAAAAGCGCTCAAGTTATTCCAAAACCTCGAAAGCATTTACCACAGGTTGAAGATTCAAGATTGAATCTCACGGCAAAAGTCTCCGAGGTTCTTGTGCTCGCACTTTGAACCCAACCGTTGCGGGAACTTGGAGGGTTGCAGCCAAAATGCATATGACTGCAAATGGGTGCGCGCACTTGGTCAGAGCAACACGTATGGAAAGCTGGAGTATTGGGACAGCACGGTTTTAAACAAAAATGGAATTGAAGATTCAAGATTCCCAAAAAGAATTTTCTCGGATTCTTGAGTCTTGAATATTGAATCCCAGACCTGTTATCTTTACTTGCAACCAAAATCACATGTTTTAAAAAAGCCCAGCCTTGTCGCAATACGCCTTGGATGCATGCGGGACACGTCTGATACGTAGGGTTTAGGTGGGGGGGCCACGTTTCGCGCGGTAATTTGACGACGTCCCACTAAAAGTAGTCTTCGGGAGCCAGTGGAAAACTGGGGTCGCAAGCTCGAATCCCACTGCCGGCTCTTTGCCGGCTCGGGCTTCCCCTCCAGGGAAATGAAGGGGAAACGGAGGGGAATGAAGGGAAATGAAGGGGAAACGGAGTTCAATTCGGGGAAAATGAAGAGGGACATGAAAGGGCAATGAAGAGGAATGAGGGGGGAAGAAGGGAAGTGAAGGGTAAATGAAAGGGACATGCGTGGGAAATTCATGGAAAATGAAGAGGACATGAGGCGGAAATGACAAGGGAAACGAAGGGGGAGATGACGGGGACAAGAAGGGAAATGAAGGGACAATGAAGGGGGGTGTAGGGGACATGAAGGGAATGGACAGCAATGAAGAGACATGGAGGGAAATCAAGGCATATTAAACTGAAAGGGCGACGAAGGGAATTAAGGGTAAATTGAAAGGACGTGAAGGGGGCATGGAAGGGAAAGAAATGAAAGGGAAATGAATGGAAACGCAGAGCAATAAGGGGGAAATGAAGGGAAATGATTCAAGCAATGTCGGCCCCGAAACCATGAGTCGTGCAGTCACTGCTAGGGGGATTTCCAATGAAGCAATTTTACAACATCGAATCATGCCATTTCTAGGGGTACAAACACATGAGCCGCACGTTACAAGCAGAAGTGTGGCAAAAACATGAGATATCCCAGCCCCCAACTACTTCGCGCCGCACTTTTGGTCAGCTGAGATCATGTCACAATGCTCAGCGTGTGACAACATCATGCGACAGCGTGTGTGCAGCGCTGCGCGGGTGCACTTGAGCGGGTGTGCTTACCATTTGGCAGGCGTGTGTGCAGCGCTGCGCGGGTGCACTTGAGCGGGTGCGCTTACCATTTGGCAGGCGTGTGTGCAGCGCTGCGCGGGTGCACTTGAGCGGGTGCGCTTACCATTTGGCAGGCGTCTGCGCAGCGCCGCGTGGGTGCCTTGAGCGGGTGTGCTTTCCATTTGTCAGGCGTGTGTGCAGCGCTGCGCGGGTGCGCGTGAGAGGGTGTGTTCTGACACGCTGAAACTGCGCGTGCTACTGGCGGGGCGCATGAGCGGGCGTTCCTACCATTGTCACCTGCATATGCGCGGAGTCTCGACTCGGCGTGCGCGCGGGGTGGCTTCTCATGCACTGAAACTGTGCGAAGTGTGCTGGCGGGCTTGCTAAAAGTGAAAAACTGCGTTTCGACCCACGGCCTTCTATAAGCCGTGGTCCAACTACTGGGAAATGAAGGGGAGATGAAGGGAAAATGAAAGGGACATGAAAGGGAAATGCAGGGGAAATGAAGGAGGGGAACTGAAAGGGAAATGACGGGGGAAATGAAGGAAATGAACACAAAAAAGGCGGAATGCAGGGGAAATCAGCGGCGCGTGAAGCGGACATTTATGGGTGGTGCAAGGGCAGCCGGAGGCGCTAAAGTACAAATATATATATATATATATATACATATGGCACCCCCCCGTTCTGCTACAAGATCAACGAGGCAGAAAAGGCAGAAAACATTGTATATATATATATATATATATGTATATTATATATATATTTGCAACCACCACCACCCCAACAAAACCTCGCCTGCTGCTTGTGTAAGGCAAGGCAGGTCATTTTAGATGGATGTTACGGAAGGTGGGCTCATTGTCCAATGTGGCAGACTTACGCAAATGATTCATTAAGACTTTGCCACCCATTCAAATAGTATGTTTCTTCTACTTTCTGACAAATGCTTGTGGCATTCCTCCCGTTGATCCTTGTTCAATCATTTCATACATCGTTTGGTCATAAACGCATTTTATGTCAACAAGCTAATTTTAACATAGCATTGGAAGCAAAGTTAGGTACAGTGTAAAAGCGAAGCTAGGTAAAATGTTATAATGCACAGGGTCTAAGTCATGATATGTCATACATACATCTCTGAAGTGTTCAAAAACGTCAGTGAATGATAGAACATCTGCCATAGAAACCGTGACGTTCTCACGTGTGTTGCTGTTAAAATGTGGCCATATTAATTGTTTGTTTCATGGTCTTCATTTCTAATGTTATCCTCGTTCAATTGACTGTAAACATCTCTGTGAGAGTACCGTCGCAAGGGAATGCTGTGATTCAAGCAATGCCTCTTCTGCTTTGCCTACGCATCTTTGATTTCTCATCTCAACTGATGTGCAAATCCTATTCGTCTGTCAACTAAAAAGAGAAAGAAAAAAAACTGTGCCACTGCCTCCTACTATTCATCCTGCATCTCTCATCTCAACTCAGCGGCTAATCCCTTCGGCTGTCAGCTCACAAGCCTTGGCCAATACCCAAAGCCACGCTGTCTGCTAAAACGGCGAATGTCCCTGAACGAAATCTGTTCTGCACAATACCTGCTTTAGCATGCAAAACACTGGTATTTACAAGGGTTTGCGCGAATTTCTAAAACATGTTCCAAAGAATTCATTGTGCAATGTCCATATGCTCAAGTATCAACTGTATTAAGGTGCACAACCAAACAGGAATGACTGAAGGCAGGCGCTTTAAAGCGCTTTAAAGTGCTGTTGGATCTAAGATTTAAGATTCAGGTTTCCAAGGACTCCAATCCGGTATGGGCCCCCAAAACGCTTTCAAGCGCTTTAAGGCACAAGATTCTCAGGACTCTAGATCTGGAATCTTGAATCCAGTATGGGGGCCCTAATACGCTTCAAAGCGCTGTCATCCAGGTAGCTCATAAATCCAGTCCTGAGAATCGTGAATCTTGCATCTTAGATCCAAAAGTGCTTTGAAGCGCTTGAAAGCATTTTAGTTTGATAGAGTTGCAAATGCAGGCATAGTTAGATGGTCAAAATTGAGGTGCCTGAAAAGGGTGGAAATCACCCAAAAGTAGTATACATCCCGTCAAATTATCTTGGGGCGTGTTTGTTTCTTCCTCTCACTGTTTTTTTGGGGGGAGGGGGGTACCGTATATATATATATATATACAGACACAGACAAGCACGCACTATGAAATATGAGCGCGTGTCTTCATAGTGTGTATGCGTGTGTGTGTGTGTGTCTATGTGTATGCATGCATGTGCTTTGGTGTCTTCATAGTCTGTATGTCTGTGTGTGTGTGTGTGTGCCAAGGCCGCAACACCGAATCCCATGTGCGGCAAAGCTGTTGCAGCAAAGGAATTCTAGCCGCCTCGTCGCCAAGCACCGTGCGCAAGGAGAACTCCTGTGCCGAAGGCAGCTGGTTGTCCTTCATCAGCTGCACCTTTTCCAGGCAATTTAGCCCTGAACTCCAAAGGGTGTCCTTTTTCGGAAAGAGGGAAGTCCAACCTCAAAAAAGGCTCTCACCCAAAAGCTCAACGGGTCAACGAAAGTACATTCGGGACGGGCGGTCAAACGCCAGACAGCTCCGCTCATCGACGCGAGCTGGCTGAGGACGTGGCCCAGCTTTTCACAGTGTCCACGCGGTAGCGCCCGGTGAAAGTGCCCAGATAGGCAATGATGCCCGAACCAATGAGTACCTCTCATCACACAAGCCAAGGAGCGACGTGGTTCAGTGTCTCGCACCCATTTAACATGGCTTTGCAAGGGCGAGTTGTTTCTCAATGCTCTGCTCTCTCAAAAGTTGCTAAGGCGGGTACGTCACCGGTGAGATTTGTGTACTGCTCACCCAAGTTCTTTGAGGACTCCATCCATCGACTTTTTTCACCTGCCCGATTTTGGACGTGCGTCAGATTTTGGACTCGTGAACCTTTGCATGGCCTTGAGGACTGCTGTGAATACCCGAGTGCTCTGCATGTCACATTGACTCAAGGCCTCCCAATCCGCTAATGAGCTTCTCCGCGCGGACCAAGCGCTTGCTGCAATCGTCCACCTGTCATTCTCGAGGGGACAACAGCACAAAGCCGAGTTGATCAATAGTCATGTGAGTTTGTCGCTTAGTCAGGCTTTTTGCCCACAAATGGTGGCAATCATCAAGAGCCTTGTGTTCATCATTGAAATCAAGTTGAAAGCGAACCAAGCTGTACGGGCTCGCAACGGAGCCGTGCGGACAGCAGGCTTTGAGCTGTGTGTTTTTCATATTCTGAAACTCTCCACCTGCACCGCCAGGTCGTCCTTCTTCTGCCGCGCAGTTTCGAAGTCTGCCAAGAGCTGTGCCACGTTGTCCTGTCCCGCACGGCCCTCTCTCGAGTCCACGCAAAGCGATCTCAGAAAATCCCGGCCGCTAGCCTGAACCGCCTTCAACTCATCCTTCTTTTCTTTCAGCAAGCTCATGACCTGGAGGTCTGGACAGCCCAAGTGTCCCCCAGCATGGAGTTGCTCAAGTCAAAAGCTGGCCTTGGCCAGCTCGACTTCAGCCCCTGCTAAGGCCTGGCAGCCAAAGTTTCAAAGGTGGGATGTTGTCGCAAAACTCGCGCCACTTGCCTCCTTCTTCGGGCCAACGACCTTTGCCACGCCGTCGTACACGATCATCGCTCGAACCTGGCGCGGCTTTCGGACGTGCCACATGTCTCAGAACTGAGTGAACTGAGGTGCCAGCCCACTTGCAAATGCCCATGGCAGCAAGAGAAGCTTTCTTGATGACCTGCATCGTCCAAAGGCCCAAGGCTTTGGCAGTATGGCAGGGTATTTTCCATGTAGCATGCAAACACAAAAGTAACCAGCGGTGAAACCAGAACTTTTGCGCTGTCACGGCAAAGCGAAGAAGATCTCGGTGGCATGAAAGCTTCTGCAGTCCGAAACAAAATAAAAAAAAAAAAAAAGAAAAGAAAAAAAAGAAAGAAGAAACAAAAACGAGTCTTGTCCGAGTGACAATGCCAGCGCGCTTGTCCCGTGATCAGAGCAAACTTTGCAAGGAAAAGAACGCCTCGGGGTCAAACTCGGGGTCATCTTCGAGAGGCTTCAGTTTCTCGATGACCTCAACCTGACACTTGGCTGGGGTGAGGTCTTGCCATTAGAAGTCAATGTCAATGTCAATGTCATCCACTGCCAAAAAACTAGCCGTCCGAGCTCCATGCCGGGATGTGATCCTTGTCAAATCCTGGACATACTTCAATGGCACAGCCATCTTGACATCTATCTACATTGATGATCTACCTGCTTCCTGTGGCGCCGGCCAAGCAGCCGATCAAGCATTTTCGGATCCTCAGACAAAAAGAGAGCGGGAGAGAGAGAGAGAGAGAGAGAGAGAGAGAGAGAGAGAGAGAGAGAGAGAGAGAGAGAGAGAGAGAGAGAGAGAGAGAGAGAGAGAGATGCTTCCGCGAATATGCCAAGAGGCACGCCCCACAGCCCCGAGGTTCCGACACCCCAAAGGCTCTTCTTGGAAGGCTCCCAGTAGTCATCAATCTGGCAGAGATTCCCCCATCTTTTCTCCACGTGGCCCCTCTCTGAAAGGGCCCCTAGCATTGGCATACCCACACGATTTTGTCTCAAAACAGGCTGACAGTGGTCCTTTTGGCCGGAGAAACTCACCGAGGGTCGGTCAGATTCGTTGGCGTCGCGCCTTCGTGCGGCCATCCTCTGCAGTGACCTTTTTGGGCTTGACATCGAACCTTGAGCATGCTTCAACGGTCTTCCCCATACCCGGTGTTAGCATCATATGAGCCACGGTCCAAATGGTTCACTTGTTTCCCCTACGGGGACATGGGAAAATGAGTCATCCCCGGGTCCCAAATGCACCATTGACCTGTTTTGACCTCTGCCCAACTCATCGTGCTGTCAAGCCAAGCTGCATCCAGCAAAGAGCTTTGGAAACTGTGATAACGCCTTCCGGAGGAGACTTCATGTTCTTGACCTGGTGGCGACTGCTTGTGCCCCGGCCGATGATATCTTCACTTGACGACCTACAAGGGCGCCACATATCTATTAACGTCCCTTGACCAACCTCCTAATACCCAGGCATTGCGAATGGCTGAGTTCATGGGATCTTCGTGAAGCATTTGACTGGGTGCAGCGAGGAGCAAATTCGAAGCAACCACCGGCTGGCCTCCACAATGTCGCCTGGCAAAAGAAGCTGCCAACACATGATCGCCTCTCTAAAATCATCTGAGCTATGCTCGATAATCATCATGCCCCTCATTCGCAAATGTGTAACTTGCCCTGGACAATCCTGGTGGGTGCAGGCCCCATGTCATCCAACCAACTTGGGCGCGGTGCAAATGAGCCGGAGCTTGCAAAAAAACCGGGGATCCTACAGAACCGAGCTTGGCTTGCTGATCGTGCTTGAAACAAAAGCCTTGGTTTCTACACGTGTCCAAATTTGTCACGCAACGTGTTCTGCTCCAAATCCTGCCTGGGACCAGCGGAAGTCCCCGACTTGTTGAATCAGTGTCCCAAAATACAACTGTAGATGCATGGCAGGCTCTTGTCAAATGCTCTGCGGGGATCTGAAACTAGGAACTCTTGTTGATAACCTACTCGAAAAGGTCCCCACGCTTGCCACTCTCCATACTTCAGCCGGCATCCACGAGCCTTTCTTCAAACTCTTCAAGGCGTCCAAAGCGGCATTCAACGCCGGCAGCGCCTCGACAAATTCCCAATCCAAGGTCTTCACCAGGAAACCGTTGCCACTTCGGGCGGAGCTAGTCGAAAAACGCTGGAGCTTGCGCCTTGTCCAGGTCAGCTTGGCACTCCTCTTTCATGGTGCGTGACGCCTCTGCCTGGCATCAGTGCCGCTAAGTATCGCTTTGAACATGTGCCTTTTCGCACGGCCTGCTGTGAGGCAGCTTCCTCCTCCTTGGCCACCACTGCTTGGGTCGCAGAGGCCTGACGCAGGCCGGTGAGCGAAGATTGGCACCGCTTCAACGAGGAAACGGATCCCTTCCGCCTCTTCCTGGCTGCGCTCGATCACGGTCATCAACTCCGCCGTCTCCGCGGAAGTTTGCTTCAGCACCTGACAGGCCATCCAGTGTCGACCAAGACAGGCACGGTGTGGTTTCGCATGCAAAGGCCAAACTTCCTCGAGCCCCCGCACTTAGAATCCAATCGCTTCACCGGTCTCCCCCAAGGGCGGCACCGGTCGAAGCTCTTCCAGCTGGATGGACATGGTCTTCACCTATCCGGGTGTCTCAAAATATGAAACGCTCCCCTAAAGACAATCCAACCAGGGGGTCCATTTGAAGAAACGGTTCCACATGCCCTTTCTCAAACAAATAAACCTCACATTGGAGCCATTTCTTTCTTGGATGGCTCCATTCCATTTTCGTCAAGGCTTGCGAACATGTCAGCACCTCCGAGCCCGGATCGGTTTCCAAAGCGAGGCGAAGGACGGGACTGCAAAAAGGCACATTGCTTGGCACTCGCTAGCTTGCCTGCCTCTGATCGATGGCCAATTTACAAAACCGGACCATAGTCTCCCCCGAGGGAAATGTCCAGGAGGCTGACATAGTGATTGTCAAATGCTCCAACTGGTGCAAGGTGCAAACCAAAACCCTTCGACTTGTGGTTTCGCCATACTTGCGAAGGTCCTTGGAGGAATCTGGGAATCCAAACAAACAAGTTTCACCGCCCCAATCTTTCACCCCTTTTTGGCCCTTTCACCCCTTCGCGCTGCAAACAAAAAAAAATGCCGCCTTGCTCGCAAAAAAAGAAGAAGCTCGCAGCACGCCCGCCTGCTCCTCCGTGGAGATCACCTTCTCCAGGCCGTCGTCGTAGCGGCGCTTGGCGCTGGACACCTCCTCCCGCTTGGAGGCCAAGACCTTGCACCCGAAAGGCGACGAAGGCACATTCTGAATTGTATCCCCTTTCTGGGGTTGGAAGGGAAACTAAAAACAAGAAAAAACAGGCATTTCAGGTTTGGGGATCTTGAGACATGCCGGTCTGCTTTGCAAAAGCTGAAAGGGAAGGCCTGTACTTGATACTGATGGACAAAATCCTGTAGCTGGGATAACAGAAGCCCTATGAAGACCGGGATACACCACATATTTACTGGTACAGGATATTGTCCATCCGTATAAAGAATGTGTTCAACCCCAACCAACACGTGTCGAGCTGAAACATTCTACACGACGTGGGAAGAAACACTGCATGCAGCCGGGGTCATGGCATCCTTGAAGGAGTTGATCAGCTCCAAATATGATGTTGGTGTGACCTTGCAGTCAAAGGCTTGAAAAAAAACTGACTCAAGGGTACTTTCAACAGTAGCCATGCGCCAAGGCGGTTCTCCATTTGCGTCACTTCGCCACTGGTACGCTGACAGCACGAGACTTTCAAGTTCCTGGCGTAGTAGTGGCGCTGCACCTGTGCACAGCCACTCACGTCCTCATTTCGCCTTTTTCGGCAGCTGAAACTTTGGGGCCTCTGCCCAAATAGTTTCTGGAAGGGTTCAGAGCGGCTGGCTGGGGTTCCACAAGGGTTCCAGGCTTTGCGGGGAGACCTGGGCGAGCTTCTCTCCCGTGCCTCTCGCCGGAAGCGATCCGTCAGGCCAAACACCGACTCCTGCATCCGCACGCAAATCCTCGGTCACATCGTCTAGGGACTGACTTTTCCGCGGAGTGCTCTCGGAGCTCTGAGCAACGGACTCCACCACTCCGGAGAACACGTCTTGCGCGAGGTCCACCTGCGGTTGTCAACCATGGCTTTCTATCACTGTTTGTCCTTTAAGGAATCGCATATTCTGAAACACGCACTTTTTTCAGACGACCATCACGGAGGAAATTGTAAGCCCTCTCTGAGCGGATGAATATGCCGCTCTCTCTCTCTCTCTCTCTCTCTCTCACTGTCTCTTCCAGCACTCCCTCTTTTCATGTCAAATCTGCCTTCTGGAGGAAATGAGTGGCAACGCTGCGCAAAGCCTCTTGAGGCCACTCCATGAACCAGTCCTTGGACTCAGGTGTGTGCAGGGAACCTTGCTGCCTGGATAGACGCGGTCAAAGTTAGAGGAGAATCCGCTGCTTCGAAGGAGCTCAACACAACAGACAACCGTACATGGGAAGAGCAGTGAAGGTCAAGAGAAAGGAGGGGATATTGAACTGGCCACAGGGCTAAGACTGTACAGCATATCCGCTAATCCGACACACCCTCACGCATGTGCAAGAAGGGTGCATCATGCGAGCATTCACATTTTCATGAGGCCATCAATCGCAGAAGCAAACATACCCAACCATCCCAATCTCGGGCTTTCAGGCGATGGAGAAACTTGGCTTCGACTGAGAGGCGTGCAATGGTACAGCAGTTGACGATTGCCGGGAACATTCGCACCCGTCGCCTGAAGGCCTGGAGCACCGCGGTCTGTGAACAGAGGTTTGTGGAGTCAATTGCGCTAGGCTGCTAGGTGGTGATTTGACCCCACAACGAAGTAAATTCGCCTGTACAAAGCACGTTTGACTTGCACTGCTCCGCACTCCATCCGCAATATTTTGCTACGTGCTCCGAGCTCACCTGCGCATCTAAGTTGCGGGCATCCCCAATGGGCGAGAGGGCGAGGATCAGGTGCAAATTCTTGCCTTTGGGACGCAAGTGGACAATATTCCTGCTCCAGTCTTGCAACTGCCTTGAGTGCCGTCTGTAAAAGGAGGGCCATACCACTCGGGGTGCCAACGGCAGCGTTTCGATGCCAATTCCGCCAGCTTCTCGAGCAACCTCTGAGGCCCTCGCGGCACTGCTCAGTGAAGAAGGCCAGGATCTGCGTTCGGGTGCAAGCGACAGATTCAAACCCCATTTCGGCTGGCAGCTCCTGCTCTCTGTGCGTAAAGGCAGCCAGAGGAGACCATGTTGGGAACACCATGCTGACTGATGAAACATGTAAACAGAAAGGAATTGCCCACTGTCAAGGTTTGGCACGCGCACACACCCACACACACGATGCTGATGCAAAGCTTGCCACAAGCGTTGTGTGCGCGTCCACGTTTGATGGCAGCTCAGTCTGCTTGGTTTAGTGTTTTGAGAAGTCGTGTGAACGGCAGGGGCCTTTTTGGGGTATCAAATCAATTGTCTGGAGGTCCCACTCATATCGACATACAGAAGCTGCAAAGCATGACAAACTCCACGGCTGTGGTTGGAAACAGGCTGCACGGGGTTGCATTCGCGCCGCGGCCTCGGCTGGCCCACTGCAACCAGCAGCAGCTGCTGCGGTGGCACTCACCTGGACACGAAAGCGAATTGACCTAGCTGTGTCGACTGTGTTGACTCTAAGTGGCTGTGGGTCAAAACCAATGGTACCATTTTTGGCCACCCATTTTAGTCTATTTTAGTGGGGATTGGGATGTTCACTGGGGGTACAGGATTTTGACCCATGGCCAAGTGTCAAACTCCAAAGGTTCACTCACTTCGAGTCTATGAGCCATACCTGCCTTTGGTGAGTTAGCTTTTGGAAGGGATTCGGGGCTCTTGGGCAGGTTGACGAAGGGCCGCTAGAGGGATACTTGAAAGCTTGAAGGCTTGATGCAAAGAACTGGCAATCCTTCCAAAAGGCGACGCCTCGAGGATTTGAGTCTTGTCCTCTGCGTTAAAGAGGTTTGGGACCTGGGCGCTCCGTTCCGACATCAAATGCATGTCAAAAGCATTATACTATAATGGCGACACATAATGTTGTTTGATTTGGTGCACATGTCCTCCTCAAAAGATACTTAGACCAGCAACGTAACACGGTCAGTTGCTCAAGGGTGTGAAAACAACTGCGAGTGAAGTAAAAGCTGCAGACGGAGAATGCAGCACCAAGAGCCTGGCTTCGCCATTGTTCAGCAAGCTGGAAGTATCCTCCAAGAAGGATTCCTGGCAGAGGGCGCGGCTACTCAAAGGGCCGCAAGCAGCGTGCGCGCTGCAAAGGCGCAGCTTCCGCGCAAGTCGGGCAGGCAGTCCTTGGGGATCTGCGTGTCTGCGAGCAGAAAGGTCACCTGCCAGAACCCAATGACGAATGCGCCCCTAGCAATGGCAAGCGCCTGGTTGGAGCCTCCCACGCTCATCAGAAGGCGCTTGATCTGGGCCAGAGATTGCGTGTGCTTTGAATGTCCTACTCAGTACATCTCTGAATCCCTCTCTTCTTCTGCCTCTCTCTCTCTCTCTCTGTTTCTCAGATCTCTCTGTCTTTCTCTCTCTCTCTCTCCTCTCTGGCTCTCTCGCTCTGTCTCTCTCTCTCTCTCTCTTTCTTGCGTTCTCTTTCTTGCGTTCTCTCTCTATCTATCTCTCTCTCCCTCTTTCTGTCTGCCTCTCTCTCTCTGATCTCTCTCTCCGCTATCTGTCTGTCGCCCTCTCCCTCTATCCTCTTGTTCTCTTTCCCTCTCTCTCTCTCTCTCTCTGTCGCTGTCTCTCTCTCTCTCTCGCTCTATCCTTTCTCTCTCCCTCGCTATCTCCCTTTCTCCCTCCGTCTCTCTCTCTCTCTCTCGTTCTTTTTCCCTCCCTCTCCTCCCTCTCTCTCGCCCGCCCTCCCTAGCACTTGGCTGGGGACCTCGTCATGCCAGTCAGTGACGCTGTAGTTCTTGGTGATCTCGATCGAGAACTGGTCGTACCTCAGTGCGGAGGCTCTACCTCCCGGCGCTTTTGTCGTCACAGGCCCGGGCTCCGCCACGAAGGTCGCCAGGGTGGCGAGGCTCTTGCGCCCACTGCCCCCCACGCCCACCAGCAAAGCGTTGCCCAACGGCGTCTTCAGCACACGCACCTGCCAAATCGGCTCTCTCAGAAATGTGCGCCACAGTTTTTGCAACAGTCCCCAGAGTAAAAGGTGGGTGTGCATCCCAGTGAAATGCCGGGGAAGTAGACAGCCCGAGGGCCCTGCGATGCGGCAAATGTGCTGTGCAGCGGACCTCAGCTGGGCCACCAGAGGCTAACCCACAGGATCTGCGAGCTCGGGCAACCAGCAGGGGATTGGGCGTCTGGCGTGAACAGCACCAGTTCCATGCTCCGTTTCGCCATGGAGTTGTAGTCCATGAGGCGATTCTTCCTGTCATTCAGGGTTGGCATGCACGAGCTCTTTGCAGGAGGCAGAAAGGGAGCACGGGGGTTCGCACGACCCTGAGCAACAATAGAACGAAGCAGGCCAGTAAGGCAACACATCATCCAGATGCTCCAGATTCGTGACTTGCTGGTAGTATAAGTTCTTGCCTTGGCCACACAAGAAGCGTAGCGGCAATCAACATCGCCTCTGCAGCGAAAGCACATGCTGCTCCGGATTCTCACCAAAGGCTCGGACTGTCAGCAAAGTCGATGAAGATCAAAGGCTCCTCATATTTATCGCCAACCGTTCTCAAAATGTGTTCCAAAACATGTGTCAGTTTCAGCAATGGTGCTAAAGCACAGGCTCGGCTGCAAAGCAAATGGCTTTGTCCTGCTTGATGATGCTCTTCCATTGCTTCTTGAAATGCTCCTATCAAGCCAAGTGCTCTGAAGTTCTGAATCCGATCAAACAACTGACCGGCACATCTCCTCATAACTGGGTTTCGCACGTTTGTGTTTCAGCCCTTTTAACTTGCTTTCAGTCAATCCCCAATGAAAGGGCACGCTGATCTTCTTGTTCGTCGTGCGCCGAGCCTGCAGTTTCTCCTCCAGCAATTTGACAAACCAAGCCTCAGGTGCTTCGATCACCCACTTGTGTGTGTGTGTGTGCGTGTGTTCATACAAATTGGAATCCCAGAACTTGTGGGTATCCTTTTGGTCTCCTTTTTGGTTTCCTTTGGTGCCTTCTGGCTTCCTGTTGGTTTCCTTTCGTTTCCCTTTGGCTGGGATTGGTTTCCTTTTAACTGCTTTCTCGTTTCTTTTCGGCTTCCTTTTGGCTTCCTTTTGGCTTCCTTTTGGCTTCCTTTTGGCTTCCTTTCGTTTCCTTTCGTTTCATTTCGGTGTCCGTGGTGTTTTCTCGCTGTTGCTTTCTTGTTGGTTTCTTTTGGCTTTCTTTTTCTTCCTTTAAACTAATCCCCTGTTGTAGGACAGACCCCAGGGTTACAGCCAAAACCAGGCATCCAAGTTGACTGCCTGAGAATCTGGAAAGGAAGCTGTTGTTTCTGGACGGGAAACCCCCGTCAAAGACCAGGCTGATGCTGTGGCCACGGTTATGCCAGAACCAGGAAGCCGTGACAAGCGTTGGTTCCAGGATGACTCTCTTAAAGTCCTCCCGAGACTGTTCATGTTTTGTTTCAAAAGTAGGTGACCCACAAAATGGTTGGTTTCCTTTAGTTTCCGTTTTAAGCCAACCAAAGGCGGGGGGTCGAACAGACACACGGCAATGCAGGTCTCCCTGAAGCACCACAAAAGGCTCCTAGTTTTGAGGCGAACCCTTCACCAGACTGATGTCTTGAGCCGAGCAGTTCGGCCAGGGTGCATTGTCCTCTCCGTTCACCAAGCGGTCCTTCACGCGACAGGAAAGGGAGCAGTGGGGAGGCGGAGCCTGTGGAATCCTGTGGAATCCTGTGGAGTCCTGTGAAAAACCCCGGAGATTCCCGCCTGAAAGACGCGCTGGCATTCGTGGACCCAGCACTTCAGGAAGTCGTCGGCACCCGGCAGCGACTCTTTGCTGCACAAGCAAAGGCCCTGATTCACCTGTGGCCACGAAGTGGTGAATGGCTGTACGCCGTGTCTGACTCCATTTCACCCATGTGAATCCAAGGCGAAGAAGTCTCTTTTTTGTTGGACCCTCAAAAGGATTGCAGGCACATCAATCCAACCCAACCGGGAAAAAGAAGTTGCACATGCCGTGTCTGATTCACACTTGGGTGCAGCAAGTGGGTGCCTTCGCGAGGTCTCTCAAGTTGAAGGTGTAGTGAGACCTGACGCGGCCCAAGTGCAGACCAACGAGACCGGCTCTGGGGACCAGGCTTTGCTGGTGTGGGCAGCATGCTGGCCGAGATGGTGTGGTACACGTCCACCTTGGGAGCTTCAAAAGGGCTAGCTTCAGCTTCATCTCCAACGCGCTAACTTTAAAAAACCAAAAACAAAAAAACAGTGACCCGACTCAAACCTGGACTCATGGCAAACCTGTCCAGTCTCCAGATCTCTTGAGCGATCGAAGGAAACAAACCATTCCAAGCAGATCTGAGCGAGGTGAAGAAAAGCAAGCCCTGTTGTAACAAAGCCCCTGTCAACGACCTCTATCAAAAAAAATATCTCCAGGTTCATGTTTTATCATGCCCCAGGCTTCGCTCGAAGCAGAAAGAGACCTCGTCCTCTGGCCCCCACGGTTGCACGGACCACCGAGCCGCTGAGGCTGCTCACCTCACAGGAGGCAAGCTTCATCTGTCTGGTCGCAATTGAAGCAAGGAAGTCCTACAGACTGCGCCGAGTTGCCGCACATGTCAGTCATGGCAAAGCAAATCATGTCTACAGCCATCCAGTTTTGGAGCTGTTGGAACTTTCGAACCTAAGGCGTTTCTAACTACACAAAGGAGATCAACGGTTCAAATACCTGGCAAGCTCAGGGAAGATCCAAGGCAGGCCTGACTCGGGAACTTCGCAAGGAACCACTGCCTCCGCGCCAAATGAATGGGCGTGTCTTCTTTTGGGGGGTCCCCCCAAAATGGCTTCGATGGCTTCGGTTTTCCTTTTACCCTCAAAAAGAGACGCACCCAGTGGCACAGGCACTCGCTGAACCTGGCGTTTCCTCAGGCCGCCACATGACCGTCTGGAAAATTCGCTGCAAACTCTCACCCTGAAAGGGCAGAAGGTAGAAGTAGTTGTAGTGCCTGGCACGCTCCGGATTGCCATCACCAGAAATCTTAGCTTCCGTATGTTGACACGGTCCACGCGTTGTAGTTGGTCGAACATAAATTTGTTCCGGCCCGTGCCTCAAGTACCGAGCAGTGATTTGAGGTCTGCCGGCGCTGGGTGTCATCGCAGCAATAAAGTTGAGATCCACGAGCTGGCGGAACCTCACACGAGTGAGCCTTGAACACTTCCTGACTTGTCCCAATCCAAAGACCGGGGAATAAAAGTTTACATTGTAGGCCGCCACGCATTAAACCCAGAACTGGCTGAGCCTGAAATCAGGCCTGGTTCAACCGCTCAGCTGAGCGCTCGCAGGTCTTCCGCTCATACCAGCCGCTGGTGTCCATCCACTGCCTGAAACCACTTAGACTCTAGACCACTTGCATCCACTTTCAGAAACTGGATCCAGATGCGGCCTGAGAAGTTCAAGCGGCGGCTGGGCCCCGTACTTCTCCTGACAAAGCGGCAGTGTTGATCAGCGTGCACGTTCGATTGCGCGACGTAACCCATGCCCCAAAGCAAACTCGCTCCAGCCTTTGCAGGCATATTGAGATCGTCCACAAAGACCAAACAGCGCTTACCGAAGGGCGGTCCATAGCAGCCCTTCTTCCTAGCAATCACTGGTCAACCATACACATTTAGGAGAAGGTCATCCTTCCTTGCAATGCACATCCGAGTGCACGCCGATGCGGTTCTTGGATCCCGGCCGCTTGTCCAGCTTTCCATCAATGACATCCTGCGACCACCAGCATCCCCAGTGTTTTTGGCAACCGGATCTCTTTCCCGAATTCCGGAGCTGTCTTTTCCCGTACCAAGCAAGCGCCAACTCTGCAACAGGCACTCCTGCGTCTGATTTGCGCTGGACTGCGCGCTGAACGCAAAGGCGAAGGTATTGTACTTCCTAAGGCGATAGAAACCCAATGCCAACTCCACGCCATCCCAAGTGCGGTCTGCTTGGATTTCACAAGGCCGCGGCTCTCGGTCAAAGCCTTTGAGCAGCTGCTGCTGAATCACGACAGTCTTCCCGGTGCCAGTGGATCCTGGCCAGTGAACACGTCTTGAAATCTGGCGACCTCAAGCTTCCCTGTGCACATTCAAATTGCCGGCTGATCTACTTTAGGTCAGGCCTGCAAAGAGTACATGATACTCGGACTTGATGAGCATCTGTAGGAAGAATGCATTCCTTCCAGCCATTGCAACGAACATATCTACCTCTGTCAGTGTCAGACACCTTTCATGGAAAGCACCTGGTAATATCTGGCCTTACTGTGTCCGACGTAGGGATGATGAGAGAATGCGCCTCCAAGCAGTCTTGCACTGGCACTAATTACCAAACAAATGCAGCACTCTAGTGCCAGCTTGCCAATGTCACTCCAATCGAAGATAGTCTGCTCTCACGATTCATGAAGTAAGCTTGCTCTGTGCTTTAGACTTTTTTGTCGGGGCACCTGCGCATCGTGCGGGATGTCGAAGCTTCCAATCTTCTTGCTCCATAGCTCCCACCTTGGCTGCAAGAAAATCCAAGTTGAAACTTTCCCAAATTGATCGTTGTTTGCGAATCACATGAGAGAACACAATTAGTGTTCTTTCCAACATAGCTCAGCAGACAAGCCTTAGTGTGGGCATATCGGACTGCTGACTGAAGATGGATCCAAAGCAGTCTGCCACTACAAATACAGACGCTTCAACTAGGTGCCAGACTTGTTGCCTGCTGGGAAGTAGTCAAAGACACTTCCTTCATCCGGAAATGGGGGTGGCCTGAGCGTGCGATTGGTTTCAGGGAAAGCTGGAAGCATCCTGACCTACTCTTCAGCCGCACAACCTTTTCCCGACGCTTCTTTGCACAAGCCAGAAACAACGAGAAGGATGCAGCGGTTTCTTCGTATCATTTCAGAAATATGCAGGTGAGGTGTCATGAAGCTGTTGTTTGCGCTTTAAACGGGTAACTTGCGGGTGGATCCCGAGTGGGTAAAACCTCTCGTTTGTCATGTGTCAAGTGCTGTTGCCCGTCCATACCATGCATTCGATGGGAGGCTTTAGCAGACTGGCTTCCATGTGTTTCCTCGCGAGGTGGCTGTGGGCTGAGCAAGGTAAACTTTGCCTTTTTGCGCGCGTCAAAACTCCTTGTTGTGCGACATGGCCATCGTTTCTTGGGGATCCATGCAACCCAGTTGATCACCCAATGCCTGTAGGCGCCCGACCCACCGCGGGTCTGAGCCGCCATCCGCGGTGCCGGCCTGGGGTCGAGCGCAGAGTCTTCAGCGGATTGGAAGCTTGTAATGCACTTCCTGCCCTGCTTGCCTCCCTAAAAACCATATGAAAACCTCCTCTAACAACGACATGTCGCCCAGTAAAAGCAAGGACTGATTCCATGTTTGAGTTTGAAACAGGATATTATCTTGATGTCTCCGATGTCTTCTAGAAACAATCAACGCATTTGACCCTTGCGGCAGTAGGAAAAAGGCAACCGACAACCGGCGAAGCTATTGAGCGGGCAAAATTGCCAAGGATGCTGCTCTGCGCACAAAAGCTGGAAGTCGTCCTTCATTCCCTGACTCTGTCCTGGCGACGTCGCGTTCTTCTGCGCGAGATTGTCCAGCATCAGAACCATGAGATCCGCTAAAGTCTAAAATGGGAGACAGGGCAATATTTTTTTCTAAGCACATGGACCTTGCCTGTCTCCAATCCAGAACTTGGTCGCACCTGTCATGTGTTTTTGTTTTTATTTATCGCCTGCCTGGTGAGCAAAAGACGACAAAGTCCTGTGCAGAGGCGCCGGAAGAAGGGATCCAGCACACTCCGGCCGTCTTCGTCGGCAACGCACCCGAAGCTCCACAACAAGCCTGGCTTGACCCCCGCCGGTGGCAAAATCCAGTTGGTCAAAGCTCCATCCCAACATGTCCGAACTATCCATGGACTCAAATGCCCCTCTCAGATAGCCTTTGAGAGTGGTTCAAGCACATAAGCCCTTTTCGAATGGGCGAAAAAGTCTTGCCAGCAACAAGCCGCATGCAACAGGCCGGCTGCGCTTAGCCAGAACAGTGCCTCGGCCGTTGCTCTTTGAGGCGCGGGAAACCATTTTGGGTAGTCTTCGACAGACGTGCCAAATACATCCACGATGGGGTAAGTGAGCCTCCAATTTGGACTCCTTCTCCTTGGTGGGCAAGTCCTTCTTGCCTTCGTCCAGTGGAATTTCTGCCTGCGGCGCGCACTTATCTGCGCTTGCGACTGCAGAATGAAATTTGGCCAGCCTTTCTGCCGACGCATTTTCGGCAGGAAACACGACCAATGAAAGTCCCATTGCAAGTCACGAGACTTCTGCGCTTAAGGCTAGAGACGTCTGCAAGCGCCATGCCTGGATCAAGGCCCAGAAGAGGTGCAGCAAGTTGAGCACCAGCCAGTTCAAGCTGACGGGGACGGGCTTGGACACCTGCGAAGCCGCATAGGCCACTCGTCGGAAGTGAGGCATGTCAAGATGCCATTTTGGCTACGCTTATTCAGGAGACCAACCGCACCTTGCGAGAAACCATCTCCCAACAGCATTCCACAGAATACTCCATCATCTCCTGTCCAAGGCAGCTTTCGGACCTTGAAATGAAACCGAAAACTCCGCTGCTTGGCAAAGGGCAACATGGTCATCTCACAAGCTGTGGTCCCTAAGCCCGTTTTGATCCAACCCCCAATCCTGCAGCATGGCGCCCTGGTCTTTCAGGCGGTCCGGCAAGCGTTCGCACCTCGCGCCCGGCTCGTGTTCGTGGGCGCTGAAAGGTGCCCCTTTCCCCCGTCCCAAGTTTGCCCTACCTTGGCCATGCAGAAAGAAGTTCATGAGCCATCTGCGTGCCACGACTTTGAGGCATGTGCCAGGAGAGAGCCAGCACGCGCCAGCCAATGTCCGACTGCTCGAGAAAGACCATGCCACAGCGAGAAACCTAGGGCTCCAGGCCAGTTTCAGTGAGAGAAGAGTAGCACAAATTTGGAAACACTCACAAGCTGATCTGCATTGTGCAACTCACAAGAGTTCTTCGAATCAACCGGCGGATCTGCATCCAAGCTGGAGACCTGGCGAATGGCTCGGGCCCCCCGGCTGTGGCTGGCGACGCGACTGCCAAGTCCTCGACCTGCCGGGGGAAATCTAGCGGCTGCAATTGCCGGCTTTGCACATCATCAAGGCAAGCTGCACTGCTTTGCCACTTTCATTGAAATGCTCCAAACGGAAAATGTGGATGCACCTCGAACATCATGGTGGTGACAGGTGTCAACCTTGGGTGAGAATACAAACAAAATCCATCTTAAGTGTTCGGCATGCAAACTGCTCTGAAAGAAGCTGTCTGTGGAGCCCAGATGCTTGATGATCTCTCCACTGTTGAGGCAAAGCTTCTTGTTGTCATCCAGCACTGTGTTCAGGTTTTCCACCCACACCTCGCATTTTGTCCAGTCCAACTGCCGCCCCGCTTCGCCCTTTTTTCACCCAAGGCAGCGGCTGCATCCACGGGGCCATCCAAGAGGATCCACTGGCGCTTGGCTTGGTCCGCCGCAGAGGCGTGGCGTACCGTGAGGGCCAGGATGCCATCCTTCCAGGCTTTGAGCGCAAGCCAAGTTTCAGCAACAATGTCCCACGCCCAAGCGCAAGAGGGAGAGAAATTGCCGAAGCTGAAAGGCGCTGAAAGGCACTGAGATTCTTGCCGACCACTCTTGGGTGTTCTCGTCGTTCTCTCCGTACAGCTGGCCCTGCTTGATCGACCTCGCCATTTTTGGTGTCAGCTTGCACTGGGTTCGCCCGAACTCCATTTCGGGAACCCGCATGTTTGGGCCATCAAATTTTGAGCCATGCGGTTCAGATGTTCATGTTTGCTTCAGCCTGTCAACTCCAGGCAAGCTGGGTTTTCGGTGGGCCAACAAAATTTGTCGTCTGTGGTCGCAGCTTGGGATTGATCTTGTGGATCAGCACCTGCGAATATGCGAAAGGCTCAGTTGACACAGGCCGCAAGCTGTGAAGCCCCACAGTGTCGCGCAACCAACGGGATCTGTGCACGTCCCAAATTCCCCCAACACCCGCCGGCAGGTAGTTCTCGCCGTCTGCCACAGCAGCCAAGGCATCAGCTAGAACCTGACAGAAATGCAATGTTCCAACGAGCTTTCAACATCCACATGCCTGGTCTCACGTCTGGGTAGGGGGAAGCATCACTTGGAAAAGGGTGAGCTGGCTGACTGCAACTCTGCTTCGTGCTCTGGTAGCTAAGCTGGCTGCGTTCTCCACCTCCGTCTTGCCGGACACTGTCTGTCCCACCAACATCAAGCCGTGGCGAACCATGATGGTCTCCCACAGCTGGATACCTGCCATGATGCTCTTTTTGACTTGCGCACGCGACCCTCTAGATTGGCGTGGTCGATGTGCCAACACTGCGGACTTTTGCCACCTTTTGTGTTGCCCGGGATCAGCGTGGTCGATGTGCAAAAACTGAGGACTGTCGCAACTTGTTGCTGCGTGTGCGACCCTGCGGGGATCGGCGTGTTCAATGTGAAGACGCTGAGATTGTTTTGTAACTGTTTACTGTGCAAAAGCTATCCGTTGCAGGGATCGGCGTGGTCAATGTGCAACAATCAAGGACTTTGTTGTTTGTTGATTTGTGCGTGCGACTGATCGGCGTGGTCGACGTGCACAGTTTGCAACTTGTTGATTTGCGCACGCGACCCTCTGCGGAGATCAGCGTGAGCGACGTGCAACTGGTTGCGGCGCTCGAATTCAAACCCCCTGCGTTGAGAACGACGCATGCAAAAACTTGCTCGGAGCAACTTGCAGGAAGATAGGTGCGCAGAGAGCTCGTGCAGAGAAACTTGCATCGATAACTTGCGCGAAACAATTGCCAAGGGAAACTTGCACAAAGAGTTTGCCCATTTGCATCGAGCACTTGCGTAGACAAATTTGAGCCGAGACATTTGAGCCGAGAACTTTCGCAGCGACACTTGCACAAAAAGCTTGCGCGGCGAAGCTTGAATGCAAAACTTGCGCAAAGAAACTCGCTCGGAGATCTCGCGCAGCCAAGCTTGCAGAAAGACTCTGCAGCTATGACTCGAAAGATGCGCGACGCAACCCGTTAGGGTAGCTCTCCTCAGTTTTCGCACGTCCACCACGCTGAACCCCGCAAAGGGTGTCATTTTCGCAGGGTGGGCTTGGTTTCACCGCCCCGCCTTAAAAGATTGACTTTAATTTCGGGCCCGGTTTCTCGTGCAAGCTGTCTCGCCCGAGCTTCTCACCAGTTTGCTCATGCAATTTGCTGCGCGAGTTCCCTGAAATCAACTTGCTGCGCGCATTTTCTCGCGCAACTTGCTGCGCATGTTCTCTCGTACAATGTTCTGCGCAAATTATCTCGTGCTTCTTGCTCTTCACACGCTCTCGCGCTACTTGCTCTGCATTTGCTCTCACGCTACTTGTTCTGCATGTCCTCTTGCGCACGTTGCTCTGCATGTGCTCTTGGGCTACATGTGCTTCCTTCCGTGCTACTTGCTCTGAGTGGCCTCTTGTGCATCGTGCTCTGCATGTCATGTACTCTCATAGTACTTGATATGCGTGCACAATTGCACAACTTGCTCTGCATCTGCTCACGTGAAATCTTGCTCTGCATATGCTTTGTGCTATTTGGCTGTGCGATAAGGCTAGCGATGTTTCCGGAAGAACCCTTCGCAATGCTAGCCAGCACCCTGCACCTGCCCCCCTAGCGGCACCAGGGACCACCTTGTACCAGCACAATCAGCAATCACCCTGTAACACCGTGCACAAGCACGCCCAGCACTAACCCAAATATCACCTTGCACCCGCACCTATACCAGCACCTCAAACATCATTCCCTCACCCTGGTCTCGAGATCTGCAATCATCTCCCATTATATGAGTGGTGGCTTTTATTCCCTTCGAGTTTGAACGGACGTACGCGCCCCTTCCGCGAAACTGTCCGCAAAGCTTCCGCGGTGTGAAGGGTACCTTCCGCGAGCAACCACTCCCTTCCTCGAGCTTCCGTGCGAAAAACAACTTCAGCAAACCTTACGCGAACCCTTCGAGGCTCCAGTGTGGTTCCACCTTTGTTGAACTGGCCTCCTCTAGACATTTGTGCTTGAGCGGGAAACAAATACCGCCACTGAGAACCCCTCATTCTCCGTGCAGGAGGCCAGAGCCAGGTTTCCGTAACGGAGCCAGCTGGACACTTCTTGATGAAGCCTTCCTGTGGCTGAAGCACCAGCCTCCGCGCGCTGCCCTGGCCGTTCGAGCCTCTCCCCCTTAAAACTGGCCAGGCTAAAAGAATGCACTTCCGAGGTTTGCAAGCTCTCTGGACTCTCCCTTTTAACGACTCACCCATGCTAACATCAGGTACAAACAGCCCCAAACTCTCACCTCTGTTGCGGAATCGCCAGCCACAGGCCACTTGAAACGCCCGTGTCTTGCTGTCGGCATTGCTTTCAAGCTCGCAAACTGCCTCGAGTTCGTTGATCAAGACGCCGTAGTCCGACGGCGGCAGCTCCACCTCGTCACGCGCGAATTTCTGCTCAAGCAATTTTATGGCCATGGGTCAAAACTCATCGTACCCCCAGTGAACATCCCAATCCAACCACTAAAATAGGTTCTAAAATGGGTGTGGTTTTGAACCATGGCCTTGTAGGTGCTGACTACGCTTCATGCATTTGGCGCGGCAAGTGAACCCAGAAAGAGCCATCTGGCAGTGGGTCAAAAATAGGTACCCAAAATGAAACCATTGTAAATGGAACCAAGGACAAAACAACTTGCAGTTTCCTGGTGGTTTAATTTTGACCCACAGCCATCGCTCTTGCCCAAAAAGTAGCCCGCCACGCCTCGGGAAATAAATCACCAGTGATGCCCAAGAACAGCGGTATGTCATTCCGAGTGAACTTTGGCAGATTCACCTGAGCCAGAATTTGTCGCAACCTCTCTACTTGCTCCGCTGATACGCCAAAGCAACCTTGAGATATTCACATTCCGCAACTTAAGCCAATCTTTGGTTTCTTAGTCACACAAAATAAGAAAAATGCTGTGTCTTTCTTGGGGAACCGGCCCCGGTTTTCGGCTTCCCTTTAAAACCACACCCAAAAGGGGCAGCGACTCCCTGTCGCCCATGCCAAGGGGCATCGCTGAGAGCCGAAAGCGCCAGGACCTGCTCTTCGCGGGTGGAGCCGTAGATACGCCGCAAGGCGCCAGCCTCGAATTGCCAAAAGGCCAAAAGGCCAAAGGCGGCGAAGGGCTCCAGTTAGGAACAGGGGAACCACTGAAAACCCCCAGGAAAACCACAGGGGTTCCGCTTGGCTTCCAGAAAACCACAGGCTCCATTTGGCTTCAAATTGGGAAGAAGTGTCGCCTATGATCTTCTGTTGGGGGTGTTGAGATCCATTTTTGACTTTGAGAAGCGAGGCATCAGCCAATTTTGCACAATAGGCAAAGCGAGTTGCATCCAAGCGCGTGCGTCAGAGGTTTGCCTTAGACCCCGCTCTCAGCGCAACGCCCGCACGAGGATGGATTTCAAGGCTCGCATGCCAAAGTCGTAGTGCTCCTGTGAATATGGAATTTGAAGCCCTCAAGACAATTTTGCACTCAAGAAGACGAGGATACGCACCACCCCTGCAGAACAGCAACTCTGCTGCTCCAGGCAACACACAAGCCCGTGTGACACACGCTGCTTGTCGCTCTCCTGTGAGGAAAGCTGCTCCGAGCTGAGACGAAGGCTCCCTACAGCCTGGCACTTTGCAAAGCGCAAGAGAGGCAAATTCATCCCCTCAAACCCTCCCAAAGCATTGGCTGTTGATCCAAATGAAGGCAGAAAATGGTGGGGATCATGGTCTTTTGCGCTAATTCGTGCCTTCCGGGCCAGGTTCTTGGCATCCTCAAAGCCTATGCTCGTCCAATACGCAATGCAAAGTGCTGTCCGATCAGCAAGCATCGAGTGTCATCATCTGGCAAGCAGCCGTTGGAGTAGAGGACAATCTCGCCAATTAGGGCATAATCAGGGACCTGCAGTTGCTGCACTTACCCGCCAGATGCACTGTGGCAACTCTAACCCACCCTCTCCCGCTCTCCTCCTCTCTCTCACTCTATCTTCTTCTCACTCTCTCTTCCACTCTTCCTCTCTTCCTCTCTTCCTCTCTTCCTCTCTTCCTCTCTTCCTCTCTTCCTCTCTCCATTTCTCCCACTCTGCATACGGATGGGGTGCAGACCATCATTGCACATGGACGGAAAAGGGCCTGCACATCAATGCCCATCATCTCAAGAAAGCTGGGGGTTGGCTACCCCGCTTGATGGCAAATGTGCGAAGCTCAGAATCAAAACATCAAGCCTTCAGGTTGTCCGGCAGCTCGGACCGGCCAGCATAGCCTGCAGCACGAGAGCTTCCACCTGGAAAGCCTGGTTTGGCCTCGTGCAAATCTTACTCTAGCTTGCTTCTGGCAGTTCAGGGGAAAGACGTGTCTCGACGCTTGCAGTGGATCCTGGTTTACAAGCTCTCGGCGCCTGGATTCATTGTGATGTTCACAGCGCAGGAGGGCACAAGCCTCGGAAGTAGATTGCCATGGGAACAAGACGATGCCACATCAATACTCAGACAGTTCAATGACCAGCGCTGATTGGGCTTCCTGATCTGCACCAACAGCCACACCGAGCTGGGGTATGGGCCTGATTTGCCTGTCCTCGAAATAGAATATCTCCTTCTTGTCTCGAATCGCAAATTGGATGGTTTGCACCTGCAAATTGCAAGGATGAGTCTTGCAAGCACGTCCGGCCCAAATCAGCAGCCTTCCAACATCTGTCCTTCCCAGAGAAAAAAAACACATTGGGGATGCTGGCGTCGCGCCTGCTGCGACACCACTGACAGCACCTGGCCGCTGCCATTCGCTCAAGAAGCAGCTCATTCCCCACGAAAACCGGTTTTGTTCCTTGGCGCAGTGCGCGCAAAGCAGCGACGGGCCTCCAAATTGATGCGGTTGAACTCGTCAAAGCAGCACCAGGCACCAGAAGATGCAATGCCCTTGAAGAACTTGCCCATGGCCTCTGACGTTTGCAAGCCGGCGGGTGCCGGCCGGACTTTCTGGGCTCCGGGGACATGTCCTTTGGATGCAAACGCAAACATCAGATCTGCAAAACACCTCTGATCTGCACACGGATGTGCCGCGAAAACATGCAACTCCCTCTTCCCGGACTATGTCCCGGGCAATGTAATCCAGGCCGTCTGAGCAGTTGAAGACCTGCAGTCAATTTGCTGAGCCACGAAGCCGCCTGGACCTTTGACATTGCCAACAAACTCCATCGATCAGAGTTTCCAGGTGCAACCCAGCCGGTAAAAAACACGGAAGAGTCAACAACCCATGAACATCCCGACAAAAATCTAAGACACCTGTGGAGCTGCCAATGCCGTGCCCCATCACGATCCCTCAAGGCCGCTAAGTTGTCCACCACACACTGCACGGCAACAGCTTTGGCGAGATCCTGGAGTTTGACGAATCACACCGAGTCACACCTTCAAACTCAAATTGAATTCCGTGACTCGGTCCTTGGTGGACTCGGTCTTGCCAGTACCAGCTGGCCCTTCTGGACCGCCGCCATAATAAAGATGAAAGGCACCCATCAACCTGAACGCATCCGTCAGCCGATTCCATTAAAGTATACAGCTTCAGGCTGAGGTGTCGTTCAAAGCGCAAAAAAGGTGACATCAAATGCTCATGTCGACATTCAAAAAAGCCAGCTCCGCGTTCGATAGCATCTGTCGGTCAGGGGCGTGATCACCAGTCCTGGGCCGGCGTACGCAGAAGCCATCTTGGGGCTTTCAGGAGGCGGTTGAACAGGGTCATTGTCGTGCGCTGTGAGTCAGCATACCTCTGAGTCCAGGCACTGTCACTGTTCCCAAGGTATTCGAACCCGTAGTAGAGGGTGGCATTGATGATGGACACCTGCTCGCGCGGCACGTGACACGGCTCCCAATCAAGCTCCCATGCTTTCCGGCCTCGCACTTGTCCACCGTGCTGGCCTTGCCGGTATCCTGTCGGCTCCCCACTTTGGAAGCCAACCCTTCTGGCTGCAAATGGAACTGATCCAAGCCTTCAGCGTGATGCTGCCCTTTGGGCGCCAGTAGTAACGCAGCTGCGCGATCCAGTCAAACTCCTGGCACTCAGCTCAAACAGCGATCAATGAGCAGCAGCAGCAGCGGCGGCGGCGGCGGTGGCGGCAGCAGGTGTGCTTTCTCTGGCTCACTGATTTGTGGTGCTGTAGGCAACATGATTCATTCACTTGAAAGCTCCCAGCATCATGCTATGCACAGCATTGACGGAGGCCTGCCTTGCCACCACAGTGCAGCTCCCAACAGTGTATTAGTATGCTGACATGTGTTTTTTACTTCCTGGGCTGGTGAAGACACGCACCACAACCACTCGACCCGCAAAGACTGGCCTTCGCTGAGGAGATCTTCGCTTCTTTCAGGCTCTGAACCTCGGAGCCCAAGACCGAGACGCGAAAGCGGGGCGCGAATTTCGAGGTGTGAGGCTGGCACCACGTCTCGGTTATGCACGTCGATGGTGACAAGGGCT